ATTGGCCAGCGAAATCTAGTTTCTAATATCTTACGACTTCCTTCTTTTATCCAGCTGAAAAACAGGCCAACGTTGATTCAAGACCTCTCGTTACTTTCTACGTACGGTTATAAGAAGAAGTTATTGTTGAGTGTTCAAAACTGTAGTTCTCTTAGTCGATTTGTCTTCGGCGGGCTTGGTATTCATGATTTCATGAAAGAATGGCAAACAGACCTATAGACACGAGTCCGTTTATGAGCTATTGGCAATTTGCCTGGGATCCAACGAGAACAAGATATTTTACAGTGAAATATTCATGTAATATTGAATGTATGCTGGTGGTACCACTATAGTTTTCTCAATCTCACGATAGCGCACAGCAACAATAGTTTCCGTAACAACAACTAATTTTAAATAACCTGCACGAAATTCACCTTCAAATACACTACGTCCTCGATTGAATCCACCATGCCGTCTGTAAACACTGTTGCTTTATGGAGCTTCATCATCAGAGATAAGAGAAAGTCGCACGGGACAAGGCCTGTTTGGTATTGTTTTTGGCTAAAAAATTCATGAACAGTTTTCTTATGCAAAGGCTGTGAGAAAAGCATGAATTTGTCTAAATAGAGAGTCTAAAAAGAGGCAAATTCTTGCTTTTTTCTTTTAAGGATAGCTTCGTGCAAACGTCTTTGCAATTCTAGTTAGCACTCCTTAATAAGCGTTTGATCTTATGGCCGGAACTTGGAATACACTTTCTCATGGTATTTCATTACCGCTAAGTTCGACTTCACTTATGTTTATAGTCCTTTTCCCTCTTCGCGAACCATTATGCTTCCACTGCGATAACCCAAGTGATTAACGGTGATTTCTTAAGAATTTACGGAGTTTCAAAAAACACACATAAAATTCATAAAATTTATGGAATCTTTATTTGAGCCGATAGAACGACCGATATAATTAAATTATTATGTTTAAATACTATTTCCTGCAAATGTTGCTCGCAACTGAGATATCTCACGTATAAATCCTTCAATATCGGCTTCCGTTGTCTTAATATATTCAAGCTTGTCGCTATTAATCGCAAAACACGGCACGATCTAGGCGGTCAAGTGACCAGGACCAAAAATGAATTGAACTACTCACTTAACTTTGACGTGTTGTACAACATATTGTCCCGTCTTGTGGAAACCATATGCCAGCCCAGTTCAGCTCTTAAGATTTGGGCAAAAAATATTTGTTTTCATCATATGAAAGCGTTGAACCATTCGTTCTTTGACTTCTCCGAAAAAATGCAGCCCAATGATGCTCACGAGCCGTAAACGAAATAAATAATAACTTTTCGGGTCGCATTGGTAGTTCTTGCAAGGCTTTTGGTTGCTTTCTACTCAACTATGTCAGCACCCATTTACTAAAATTTTAGGCGCTGTTTTGGTAGTTCCTGTGGCTTCAATTCTTGCAGCAACTGTATTTTGAAATGTTTCTCGCTCCCAGACCCCCATTTGCTGTGAATCGATAACTCACGATCATCACTAGCACTTGTATTCGCAAGCAGCGATATTTTTCTTAGCCCGCACTCTGGGTTTAATACAAATTTGTTGCAAATCTTAGCTACACGATTCCGAGTAGCCGACTCAGCAGGTCGATTACTTGCCTAACCGAGCTCCACCTTTGTGAAGTCTTTTTTTCATTTCATTTCTTTCACTTTTTTTCTCGTTGTCAATGATTGTTGTTGTACTCGCAGCAACCCTGTCCAAGGCGTTCGTCATAACATAAATGATTATACTATGTAAGGAGGCGATCAAAAGGCGCAGAAAATAAATCTAAGCTTTTTTCGGGTACAAGAGCATCAAAGCATCGAAGGCAATATGATCGAACTCTTTACGACAGGCTATAACTGTGCACTTGCCAGTCCATCTTAATAAAGGGTTAACGGATTTTCGGTTTCCCTTCAAGCTGAATCCGAAAGGCTCAAGGATCAACATCTCTTGTTCAATGCTAAAGAATAATCTCGATCTCGTTTATTCAGCCAGATAGGAAGAGGTCCAGCGCAGTGCTTTAGTTTAGTCATACACTGTATGTATGTATGTATATGTATATGTATATTCATAAGTATTTTTTATGCACTCAATTGTTGTTTTATTTGTTTATTGACCATGCGGTCAGCGCTTTCAAAGCGACCGCCACAACTAAATAAATTACTTTCAAGGGGCAATGTGTCAGTATAAAAGTTGTCGGCGCTTTCATTAATTCCAGCAGCTAAGTGAGGGCCAAACAACAGCAAAGCCAACAACAACAAGAACAAGTACAGCCATAATGGCAAGTTCGAAACAAAAAAAAATATGAACAAAAAAGCACGCAAAAAAAGTAAACAGCAGCAAGCGTCGGCCAGTGAATCAGCCACCGGCAACAGTTGCCGGCATATCACACTTCTGTCTCAGCTCTGCCGACAGCGACGGCGACGGCGAAAGTACTGCCATTCAAATGGAAATACTTTAGTCAGCCAGCCTTAATGCAAACACACACACACACACACATATACGCAGAACGGCTGGCAACCGCATTACGCACACGCTGCTATTGTTTACTGCATTGGTTGGCGTAAAATGTTGACCAGATCGGGTGAATGAGCCTGCGTGCGCGGCGCCAAAGTGCACAAAGTCAAAGCGACGTTTGGCAAATACTTGGAACGTTATTGTGGCGCCGGCATTGCATGCATCACCATTAATTACGAAATTCTTGCAAGACTTTTTTGTATTTTTTTTTTATTATTGTAAATAAGTATTTGGCGCTTTTGTTATGCTGATTGTTTTGCGCCGGCTGAATGACCGACTGACTGAACTGGCATAATCTTTTCAAGCCTTTACATGCGATAAATTTGGAAGTGAGTTGGCGTTAAAAGCAAAATCAACAACAACTAAACAGCAATTTCCACCAACAGAGCGAGATGGCAGCGCCGTTCATTTGTGTAGTAAGTAATAATAAAAATAAAAAATGTTTAAGATTGCATTAGCAAGATAAGACGACTTGCAAATATCTAAAGCAATCGCATACAATAATATTTGTAGCAGTAAAGCCGTCGACAGGTTTATTGTTTACGACCACCCGACAGAGTAGCAGCGGCAACAAAATAGCGTATTAAAAATAATGCAAAAATGTTCATTATGAAATATTGCAGTTAATAAATATCAACGGTAGTTTTACGAGAGTTCGTGCATTAGCACGAATTAATTCAATTACGTCGTTAAGCACGACACGACAATATTTTTGCACAACGCTGTTTCACAATTTCGCGTGTAAAGTCATTAATACGCCCAGCAGTCAAGTGAACCAGTTCAGAGCCGCTGCGGAACTAGTCACGTAATTGAATGAAAAATTAATTTTTTCGCCAAAAATAGACTGATCATAAATGAACTAGTTGCATGCTAGTTCAAAATAAACAAGAAATACCAGTTGAAATTCAAATCAAAATTTTTTCGAATTTTTTTAAATATTTTTATTTATTTTATTTTATTATTTATGATATATTTTATTTATTTAATTTACCTTAATTTTATTTCATTCCATTTTATTTCATATTATTTTGCTTAATTTGTTTTATTATATTTTATTTTTAATTTTATTTTCCTTTGGTTAATTTTATTTTTTTTTTTTAATAAAATTTAATTTACTTTACTTTTTCAATGTATTTCATTTTTTAAGTTTATTTATTTTAAAAAAATTTTCACTTTATTTTATTATATTTTTTTTCATTTATTATTGCTCTATTTCATTTTTTATGTTTTTTAATTTTAAAAATTTTTTGCTTTAATTTATTTGAATTGATTTAATTTAATTTTATTTTATTCCATTTTATTTCATATTATTTTGTTTAATTTAATTTAATTTATTTTATTTTATATAATTTTATTTTATTTTATTGTATGCTTTTATGCTTTATTCTATTTTTTCATATTATTTTGATTAAATTGATTTAATTTAATTTTATTTAAATTTATTTATTATATTTAGTTTAATTTAATTTAATTTTATTTTATTTCATTTTATTTTATTTTATTTTATTTTATTTTATTTTATTTTATTTTATTTTATTTTATATTATTTTATTTCATTTTATTTTATTTTATTTTATGTTATTTTATTTAATTTTTTTTATTTTATTTTATTTTATTTTAATTTGTTTTATTTTATTTTATTTTATTTAATTTTATATTATTTTGTTTTAGCTTACTCTACTTTTTCATTGTATTTTATTTTTAAGAATTTTTTTTACTTTATTTTATATTATTCTATTTTTATATAATTTTGTTTTAATTTATTCAATCGTATTAAATTTTATTTCATTCAATTACATTTTATTTTATTCCATTTCATATTATTTTGTTTAATTTAGTTGAATTTATATTATTTTATTTAGTTTCAATTTATTTTACCTTACTTTATTTAATCCTATTTATTTTATTTCATTTTATTTTAAATTAATTTATTTTATTTTGCTTTATTTCGTTTAATTTAAAGTTACTTTATCATATTTTATTTAAGTTATTTATATAATTTTATTTTTTAATTATTTTATTTCATTTTAGTCTAATTTATTTCAAGTCATGTCATTTGGTTAGATTTTTAATTTTAATTTTTTTATTGTTTCATTTTACTTAAATTTATTATTTTTATTAGTTTTAATTTTTTTTTAATTTAATGAATTTTTTTGAAATATTTTCTATATTTTGTTATACATTTTTTTTTTCCTTTTTCCAGTTTATTTTGTGTTTTTTAGTATCAAATTTTTAATTATTATTTTTTTTTTGAATTACAAATCATTTCAAATATTACAAAGAATTAAATGTTTTAGGGTCCCATAATTTGCACTGCTGGGACATACATATATACATATGTACAAGTACACTTACTTTATAGGTTTAATCTACCATAAATTGTTAGAAATATTAGCATATCATCCATTGCACCTTAACTCAAATCTCTAACGTACGCTGTTTCCTTTCTTCTTCTTCCACCACTTCCAGTTCAAGAATGCACCACCGACTCCGAGGAGCTCATGTACCATCAGGTGCGCGCCTCATCTTCCTGCAGTGCACCACCCGATTTACTTATGGTGAGTGAACGCGAAAACAACATACCGTTACGTTCGCCTGTAGTCAATATAATTACCACACAAACAACAACAACGGCTGCCTCAGCGCATAATCATCATCATCATCATGGTAGTAGTAGTGGTGCCGCTGTTGGTAGCAGCAGTGTACAAAAACATCATCATCAGTCTGCTGCTGGGCAACAACAACAACAGCAGCAGCAACAACAGCAACAGACAACACACAAAGAACAACATGGTACAAAGGACGGTAGCGGTGGTAAGCACCATCTGAAATTGAGCAGCAAAAGTGCTGCAGGTAAATACATAAATACACAGCAACAGTTGGCCGTTAGTAGCCAACAGCAGCCGCAACAACAACAGGATGAGATTGATGGCCAACAACAGACATCGCATCAGCGGCACTCTTCACATGCGCATGGCAAGGAGGAGCGCATTCGTTTGGAGGTGAGTTAATTAAATGTACAGTTGAATGGCCTGACGGTGATTTTAATTTTTTTTTTTTGTAAACATATTTTTTTTTTTTTGGTTACATAATGAATTTTTACATATAGAATGTGTTAATCGTTAGAAATATATTCACTCCTATTGATTGAAAACCCGAGCTAATTTGTATCTGCGTAAACTCGTATGTCTAGTTGTATTTGTTTATGTCAAAGCAATTAAAAATTATGCTTCAAAAGTAATTTATGCTATTTACCAGATACTTTGGTTTTGCTTAATAGCAAAAAGACTACTACAACACCGTTATTTATGTCTATGTCAGTATCATCGTTATACCTCAGCAGCGGGATGCTCCGGCAGAAGAATATGCCTTCTGTATTCAGCACTGCAACTTGTCTAATTTTTTTCAGCACTTCATTCAATGCCGATTGTCTGGATTGCTCTCAAATGACCAAAGAAGTTGGTAAATGTCCCTTCTTAGTGATTCACCGGTACCTGAGTAGCCTAGCCAATAGACCATCTGATCGAGCCGCTTTGTTATTTTTTTAATATGCAATTGCTGTGTAAATCTCAAGAGCAATTTTAATGCAATTCTCTAGGTTTGAGAAATGTTCCCAACATGAAATGTTCAGCATGATCTTAAAGAACATTCGCCCGTTTCTTCAATCGTCTCTTTACACTACAGGATTTCAGCGTCGCTCTCTTCCTCTCGACAAATGCATCTAGTTTCTCTCTTCAGCGCTCAGTACTGTGTGTATTTGCAGTTATTTCTAAAAAATAAGAAATAAGTAAAGCTTAGTTCGGGTGAAACCGAACAGTAAATACTCGGGCTGAAATTTTTATTAACTTTACGGATCGGTCAAAATGTAAGGCCTGTTAAATGTGAGGTAGATCTATTTTTGCACCTAAATATAACATTTTTGATAAGACTGTAAAGTGTAAGTAACTTTAAAAGTAATTTTAACGGTTGTTATCGGGAGGAAGATGTATCGTAGAGTTCCTTTGGATATGTCTTAACGCAAAAAGTAGAGATTGTTTTTTTCAACAGACTCTAACTTATCGGAATGAACTTGATCATTGGAGTTCCATATCAATGGACCATATTCTAATATATGTCTCACCAAAGTCGTACAAATTGGTTTAGTTACATAAGTGTATTTAAATTTTTAGACAATCTTTTGAGAATAGCAAAGGCATTGGCATTGATATGAAGATGGAAGTTAAGCTTACGGTTCATCATAACCTTCAAATCAACACAGTTGTACACTTATTCTGGACTATACTTATTAATTGTATAAGGCGAAGGTTGAACAAGTCTTCCTGAAAAGCATATGGTATTACACTTCGGAAGCTTCAAATGAACACAATTTTCGTCCCAGTAGGGCTTTGAATCAATTCACCATTCTTCTCTTCATTATAGAGGCCCAAAGCGGCACTTGAATTTTTATTATGGTTGTATAGGGTACTCCAAACAATTCTGTGAGTTTTTTTCTATTAGTCGACTATCTTCGGGGGCGATTTTTTCAACTTTTTGCACAAATTTTGGCGTAGTCATGACGATTCTACTCCCCGTCCTCGGGTCGCCGTAAACCAATGACATCTCATTCATTATGTTCGCCTTTGAATCTCCTTGCTTGGTAAGGAGCTTTACAACGGCACGACATTAGATTTTTTCAAATTTTCGGTAGAGGAAATGCCAATTAGATTGCTTGGTTAACGTTAGCTCAAATATTAAATGCTTAATTACAAAGAAACCTCATTTCTATACTAACTATGAGTCACTGAACACGTTATGATTCTTATGAGCCTAAACACCGCCCAAAAATCCGCTCACTCCGCGCGTATAAAAATTGACTCTCTTAGATATAGTACAATATTTCAAGACAAAATCTTTAATGACGCACAAGGCATGCCAAAAATTACCTTATTAGTAGGGTTAAACCTAAGGGATAGAACTTCGAAGCAGACAGTATAGTAATATTACGGTGTCTGGACTTTATAACTCAAGAAACTAGTGTCGCGCAGTATCTATCTTCTCGTGGTGCATTCAAGCGCACTATCTTAAAATATCTTCTCTTCGTCATACTTATAAATAAAATAAATTTAAAAATATGTTCAAAAGTTTTCAAACAAAATAATACAATCAGAATCTGAAGGCAAAACAAAGCAAACAAACTCCGCCAATCACCCGTTGTGAACTTTTGAAATTATTTCGATGAAAAAAGAAACGAAAATTCGTGCATACTGTTGTGCTCGTATACTTTCCCCCGTTGAGTGGACGCAAATTAAAGATGTGCGAGTTGAAATTTATTACAATAATTGCTCTTGTATTTTTTTTTTTTATTTCTTTTTTTCAATTTTTTTTCATTTTTTTTTTTTTTTTTTTTGGTTATGAACTGAAAATAATGTAATGCAATTGCACTCGGACTGTTTCAATATCGCAAATCACTTTTAATTTTCTATTTGAAATTAAGATTTTTGTTTTTTGTTTTCAACAAATTGCATTTTTCAAAGTACGAACGAATTTCACTGTTGATTGGAAAGTGTTGAGAAAACAACAAATTCAGTTTCCAAAGCGGACAGCAGCTGAGGCATGCAAGAAAAAAATTTTCAAAGAATTTTATTTTATTTTTAAATTACTAGAAAATACAGTTTGACGTCTGTTTTATTATATACCGTTAAATTAGGGAAAATACACAAATGGCGCTTAAAAAATAAATAAGAATTCTCAGTTGTTTTCCAATTGCACGAGAAATTGTCGATGGGCGCCCAGGCGACTGTGGCACCTACGTAAATATCACCAGTGCATTTGTGAGCAATAAAAGATAATTAATGTGCATGCATACATACTTACATGTGTAGATATGTATGCGCATTTATATGCACTTTCTTAATCTACTAGCCATTTTGACGAGTCGCCGGTGGACTCGTAAATTTGATTTGAAGAAATAAACAATAAATAATTTTCACTTCAATGTGAGTTTAAGTGCTGCGTGGTAGCGAGTTTATGACCAGATTGCCCATGGAAATTATTTATGAACACATCACACACATACACATGCATTTGTTGCGCCAAGAATTTTGTTGTTGAAATGCGTCCAGTTCGCTTGTAAATTAAGATAATTTATGTGATTTTGGCAGATGTTCTACATCATAATGAAAGATTTGCACTCCGTGCGCTGTTTATGATCTGCGCAACATTGTTGTTAGTGAATTGATAAACCGCGTAGCCTCTCACTATATCACTTCCAAGTACAGGCATTTTTGAGGTTTTTATTTCTATGAAAACAGAAAAATATGCCATTAAGAATGAAAATCAACATCAGGCGAATTGCTAAACTTACTGGACCATATCCTTATTATGAAATTTTTCATCACCGAATCACAAAGTGGCTGCTGTATGTCCTCAAAAGCTGAACGAATTCCATCTTTGAGGTCTTTCCTCGGCCTTGACCAGTTGACGTTGATCTTATCTTTCACGTGGCTACGAAGAAAGAACTCGCAAGGTGTTAAATCACAAGATTTCGGTGGCCAATTGCGATTACCTCTTCCAGAGATAGCACGATCCGCAAACTTTTCCCTTAAAGAATAGTTGGTTTCGTTGCTAATGCGGCAAGTAGAGCCGTTTTTTTTAAGTAAATGTTTTTCACATGAATACCTACCAATTCCAGTCATAAAAATCATTAATCATCTCTCGTTAGCTTAATCTATTCACTCCAGTTTCTTTTTCGAAAAAGTGCGTTTCAGAGACCCCGCCGGATCAAATTAAACATTATCACGTTGAGGATGGAGACGCGTTTCAATAATAAATCTAGGATTTTCCGGGCCCCAGATGAGACAGTTTTGCTTATTAACGTAGCCATTGAGATGGGAATGGATCTCATCAGACAAGATGATTTTTCGATGAAATTTTGGATCATTTACATGCATTCAATGACCCAATCAGCAAAGACGTGACGTTTTTGATGATCGACCGTCTTGAGTTCTTGTGTTAACTGAACCTGATAAGCCTTAAGACTCAAGTCTTTATGCAAAATACTTTGTAATGACGTTTGTGGAACGCTAAATTCTAAAAAATGACGAGGATGGACAAGCCTGAGTTTTCTCCAACACCTTGGTCTAGAGCAGCAATATTCTCAGTTGTTCTCAGTTGTTCTTCACATCCCTAACTTTTCCCAACAACTCCATTTTTCTCACCAATTTCTGTATTGCTATCCGACAACGTGCTTCACGGCGACCGAAAAATGTATTACGAATCGTCTCAGCCAAATTTTCAACATTTTTAAAATGATTTTTAATAATTCAACTTCAAAAGTGGCATTTACTGTAATAGCGGGCTATTCCAAATAACTTTGTGATAAAAGGAATATCTTCCAAAAATGATATGAAGTTCAGTAAGAAAAAGCTCGACCCACATCATCCACATCGCTTACATTTCCATATATATCAAGTTTCATGCCAGATGTACTATTCGTCAACGCTCAATTCCGATGTCGATGTTCGATATCTACTGTCCCATGGATGAAAAAATCAAAGGAATTCGATAAACTCAGATTATTTCTGATCCAAAGAAATAAGAAGAAGAAGATCCAAGATTTGAAAATAAAAGCACACTTACGTCTTTTTTAATTTGCAAAGAAAAATCATTTCGGGTCGTATGAGATCTTAAAAACACACTTAAAGGTATCCATAGAGCTATACCGCAGGTTCCGGTCTGAAATTGTAAGGATAATAACGGGTCCACCGCGTCGAAATGCCCACACTCTTTGCTTAATTGCGGTCGTACGTCAACAATAACGCGCCGAGTTTTCTCTTCCAAAGCGTCAAATGTCTCTGGCTTACCCGCACAGTGAAGCAGTCCTTCTATAAATTTATTGTTTCGTTGGCTGTGTAGCATGCAGCGCCGTCTTGTTGGTACCAAAGCTCATTCACATCAACATCTTTAAATTCAGGGACGAAAAAGTCCTTAATCATGACTCTAGCATTCTCCATTGATTTTGGCATTACGGTTGGCTTGATTTTTGAAGAAATATGTACAAATGATTCCCACTGCCCATGGAGCCGTGCAACGTGACCATACAGCTATGGCCAGATTTGGACGCTTAAAAAAAAATTATTTTAGATCGGTTCTGCATTTACATATGTAACGACAGGCACAATAACAGGTGACTGCTTAATCGGGCTTCACAGGAAAATAATGAGTTTTGCTGCAGCTGTAGGTTCGAAAAAAGGAACACCAACTCTGTCCATGTTCAGCCTTAACATCTGCGCGACACGAATTCCTTCGAAACCGCCTTATTCGACGAAATAGTTCGGTCATTTGGGAAGAGCATTGATCTGACTATAAAATATGCGTCGCGTCCTCTGATTCGTATTTCTAATTATTTCCGAACTTTAATGTCACTTGCATGAGTTTTTTACAAATATTGATGATTATTGCGCGGGAAAATGGTCAATATTAGACGCCACAATTACCTAAATGGCATTTAGTCGTCTACAATAAATATCTCAAATGTCAATACAACAATTTCCGCAATACTGTACAGGAAATAATCGTACTCAATCGACTAGATTTGACTAAATGAACCATTCACTTTTCAAATTATAATGATTGTAATTTCCGTTTCCGTTAACGATTTTATTTTCCAGTTTTCCTTTTTTTTACATATTTGCTATTATTCTCTTATTTCAATTCATTATTTGTTTTTGTTTTATATATATTTTTTTTATTACTTTATTTTGTAGCACTCAAGTAAGCTTTGCTAAAAATTACTCTCTGCTTTGGATATAATGTAATTAAATGAGTTGTATAACTGAGTTGTATGTCTGAGTTGTATAACTTAGTTGTATGACTGAGTTGTATAACTGAGTTGTAAGACTGAGTTGTCTGATTGAGTTTTATGAAATCATTATTAGAAGATATAGGCATATTCGATTCCTTTATAATCAGTATATCAAATTGTATTGAACCAATTCTGCCTGTTTGACTGTTTTTCAAGCAGTCATCAGTCTGAACGATTGTCATTGACCTGTTTTTTGGTGAACATTTTTTCTCCGCTAACAATATTATAGAGTATCATACAGTTGTAAGATTGGTATACAAAGTTTTAATCAAGTACACAACACACTTTTATGCCCGTTCGCAATTTATATGCAATTCATTTAATCGACAAAAATTTATAAAAACTATTTTTTATTCATAAAAATATTTGAAATTTCTGCATGCAACTCTCATTGCTACCACTGCACCGCAGCACATAAGGCTACGTAAATAGCATAAAGCCCTGGAGTTTATCAAAACTCGATAGAAACCAAAAAAGAAAAATCCTTTAATCTTCCAACAAAATTGCAAAATTTATTTATTTACCTCCAGAAAGGTAGCTGAACTATTTTTTTTCCTTTTTTCAAAAACCATTTCGTGTTTATTATTTTTATTTTTTATTTTTGCAGTAGATTTTGTACGAAACTCATGCGACGTGGCATATTATATTGACGGAGTAGAGGTGAGGCGGATGGGTACATTCGAGCTGCATAAATGTGCAGAGGCACAGAAAAATCACACTGAATTTGATTTGTTTACGAAAACATCGAATTCCACTTGCGCTGCATAGGCTTACCATACTCACGAGCTAAATCCAATCAAATCCGAAATCAGTTTATTTTGTTTCGATTGTATTTATTACCAGGCAAACGTACGCCCGCCGAGTGGTGCTTTATTACCGGCTCAACTGGATTGCTGATTTGTGCAGCGATTTATTTGTTGTTTGTGCAAACATCAGCAATTAGTAAGAAAACAAAATTCGCATCGGGGGGATTTGCCAAAGTTTTTATATACGTATTAATAGGATATTGGGGTGAATATAAACATTCAATGGAAAAAATTTAAACTCAAAAAATTTTTTTTCTGAAAATGTATTTGGGACAACTCAAAACAATAGAGTAAATAAAAGTAATTTTAAAAATATTTTCGAATTGAAATCATCTTATCAGTTCTATGCTCTTGTCCGGAGACCTTGTCTTTTTTGAAAATGACAGCGGTGAGACTGTCACTACTATTGGGACTATGCTATCAAGGACATCCAGTACCTCCTATTGATGAAGTTTTTCAACCATATTTCTTAACATAAAAATGAAGAAATGTACCTAAAAAATCTAGTAACCGCTTAAATAATCTTGCACGAGATGAGATCGCAAACTACTAACAAGCTTTAGGATGAGATCCTTCAGCACATCAAATTCTCTGCTCATGATCACATAGCTGGAACTAGGGTTTGTTTGAAAAATTGAAAAGAAATTAATACTTTTGATGTCTTACCAGCATTATTTATTTCCAAGCAGAAGCAATAGTCTTACTAGTTCTGTGTCCCATCAATGCAACCAATTACTGCAAGGTTGCCGTGCTTCATGTAGAGGATAAACGCTATTTTACGCTTATCGTCTACTCTCCCAGTAACTTTTATTCAATTTGGGCACAAATGTTTTCCAATTGTAGGCAGCACTTTCGAAAGCATATGGTTTTCCAAAGAGGTTTTATTTTGATATTCAAAAAAAATGTCTTTTTTTTTAGAAAAATGTTTGAATGTTTATTTCAATGTAAAGAGGAATATATGCCACTAATAATGTCAGCCAAATGACCGCCACGGCTTCCATCACCAAATTGCAAAATGACGACGGTATGCCCTCTATAGCTTCACGAACTTCATCTTTGGGGTCTTTAATCGACATTGGCCTCTTGGCGTAGACCTTACAGGGTCCGGAAAATTTTCACTTAAAGAGAAAAAAGATAATTGATTCCATTGCTTGTGTGGTATCTGTTGTAAGTTAACTTTGTTCAGATCAATATCATCCGATTCCGGCCATGAAAAATCATTTGTGATCTAGTAAATTGTATTCAGGGAAATGTAAACTGTATTCAGGGAAATGAAGCAAAACTAAGGGGTAATCAATACCGCATCGGACAATTTGACAGAGTATTGGCTTTGGGCGTCGCAAATTTTCAATAAAAGTCTGACTGAGGACAAAAAAGTGCAGGAATTGTAAGGAATGTATGGATACAGTGGAGTACGTAAGCTGCGAGTATGAGGCATTCGGCAGACAAAGGCTAAGCTTACTTAGCGCAGAAAGGCAAGGGACCAGAACGACTACACCAATGTTCTTTACGCTAGAGACACTAGAGTGCAGCAGTGCAGCTTGGTTGCATATACTTGTTGTATGTATGGCAACACTATGGATATATTATCATCTATGTGAGACCCAATGGGACGGCCAGCTGAACCTAACCTAAGAACCGACAAATAACTGATTGCCGATATTCGAAAATTATCCTCTTCTGCTTTTCCGTTATTTTCGTCCTCACGTGGGAAAGATTTTCTAATTTTTTTCACGAGGCAAAATTTTCCGAGCGAAAAAAATTCCCCCAGAATTATTAAAAAGTGGGTTGTATATTAAAAAGATTTAGTGTTTTTTCTTATTTTTTATTTCATTTAATATTTTTGACAAATTGCAAAGAATTCGATATTTGAAATGTTTAAACATTTATCATGGCAACAATAATTATTCACTAAATAGAACTTAATTTCCGCGTCCACCACAAATTTGTAAATATTTCATTTTAATTTACCGCTACAACAAATTTGTATATATGTACATAGATATATGAACTAAATCGAAGTGAATATTCTCTTGTAAACACAAAAAAAATTATGCATAGAAAATTTCCATTAATTTTGTTGAAATGTAAATGGCTAATTGCCAAAACTTTTGTTTCCTGATTTCACCCAGCAATGGCATGAATTTCAATGGAAATATTAAAAAGAAAATATTTTCGAAGAAAAAAAGTTTTATTGAAATATTGTACGAATTCAATGAATTTTTACGCTATTCAGCACGTAGTGTCCCGTTTATTTGCTACAAATTTTGGGCAAAAAATATTGCGAAAAGCGTAACAAAATTTATTAGAGCATGAAATTGCAACGCAAGCGAACTTAAAATGGCAGGCAGACGCAATAAAGTATACATAAATGTGTATGTATATATGTATGTACATATGTATAAACATGTTGTATACATAGATGTAAGAGCTTTGTACCGTTAAAGGAAAAATAGAAATAGAAAATATTCCAGTTTGAATGCAAACTTGAAGAGGCAAGCAAGTTGTAGACTTGTAGACAGTCTTTTTAAACATGTCAGCGAAATTCAATATAATATTTACTTTATCCAACCATTCATCTTTTCCTCTACTTACATTTCTCCATGTAACCTCACAAACAAAAACTAAAACTGTATTTTTTCTATTTCTTTTCTCCCCCGTTTTTTCAATTTATGCACAGGAGTTTACTTGCGACGTTTCCGTTGAGGGTGGCAAATCCACACAGCCGCTGCAGTTCTCCTTCACATTCTACGACCTCGATGGCCATCATGGTAAAATCACAAAGGATGACATTGTCGGCATCGTCTATACCATATACGAATCGATCGGCAAGTCTGTGGTGGTGCCGCATTGCGGCAGCAAAACAATCAACGTCCGCCTCACTGTCAGCCCAGAGGGCAAATCAAAATCAGCCGCAGCCGCAGCCGCTGCCACCGCTGCAACCGGTGCCGGTGGTGGTAAGTTGAAAAAAATGTCAGCGCAGGGCGCTGGTGGCATATTGGAGGCAACGACGACAAAGTCAAATGCCGTTCATGGCCATGGACATACACGTCGCCAGCATCGCTATCGACCGCGCAAACTAATTAAATCAGATGATGAGGACGATGACAGTAACAGTGATAAGGAAAAGGAAGCGAAATCTGCAGCGGCGGCAGTGGCTGTTGCGGCGTCGAGCGGTAGCGCTGTCAATAGCGCGAGTGCGGCGGCAGCGGTGGCTGTTGGCGGCAAATCAAAAAGTCATTCCAGCGGCGGTAAATACAATAAGATGAAAGCTTCAGCTGCTGGTGAACAACAGCAAATGTGGTATCAGCAGCAGCAACAGGAAACAGGAAATGCGCCAGAGCAACAAACGCCATCAACGCACATTGATGCCTCCGCTGTAAGCTATCCCCACGAGAATCTCTACGAGAATATGTCCGCAACGCAGCTCAAATGCTGCACAAAGGAAACACTATTGAAAATCGAAGACTGTCGCGGCTGTGAGACGGCAGTCGTGAGTAGTACGCCGATCACCGCCGCCGCCGCTGGTTATGGACGCGCACCGACGGATGTCTACATGCGACAGGCGTCAACGCGTGTCAAAATGCTACGCAAGGCGCGAAAACAGAAGGTAATTAAGGACATGCATGTAAATCAGTTATCTGCACTCGGGTGTGCGTGGAAATGTTGTAATAAGTGCGCGAATAAGAGAAATATGGAAGCATTAACATTGAATAATTGAAAAGTTGAAGTATAGTTATTTTGCATAATTAATGCGTTCTTGTTGCAACATTTCATTAATCATGCTTTAAGATTATCTAAATGTTGTTTTTCTTTGTTGAGTAAAGTGCTATAAATAGTTACTGTTACATGTTTAAGCATGCTAATGTATTATGAGAATATTTTTTTTAACTTGTAAATTGGCCTTAAACTAATTTATCACTAACACGATCATTGAATCTTAGTTACCTTAAGAGAATGCATGTTAAAACCCATATTCTGGCGATTTCTCCGCATAACAAATTTTTGAAGCTTTATTTCTTAAAGAAAAATATAAAAATAAATTAACACAACATAATATAAAATAAAATCAAATAAAATAAAATAAAATAAAATAAAATAAAAATACATAAATAAAAGTAATTAAAATAAAACAAAAACATAAATTGAAATAAAATAATATAAAGTAAATTTTAACAAAATTATATTAAAATAAATTAAATTAAGTAAATTAAATTAAAATAAAATAAATTAATATCAAATGATTTAAAAGAAAATAACATTAGATAAAATAATATTATATAATATAAAAAATTAGAATAAAACAAAACAAATCAAATTATGTAAAATATAATGAAATAAAATTATAAAATCAAAAAAATTAAATTAATTTATGTTAAGTAATATTAAATGAAATTGAATAAAACTATATAAAATTAAATGAAAAAACATTAAGTAACATGAAATTAATTGAATTAAAATACAATAAAATAAATTAAAACAGTATAAATTAAACAACATTTAATAAAGTAAAACAAAATAAAATCAAATCAATTAATTTGAAATAAGAATGAAATATAATAAAATATAATAAAATAATAATAAATATAATAAATAAAAAAAGGAATAAAATTAAATTTATATAAAAAAAGAAAGAAAAACCTAAAATTAAATAAAGTAAAATAACAAAAAAAAATAAAAAAGTAAAATTAATATTGAATATGGCGACACAAACTAAAACTAAAAAAAAATCGAATCGAAACAAAAAATAAAGGATAATAAATTTAAATTACATAAAGTACCATAAAATGAAATAAAATAATAAAAACATAAATAAAAAATAAAGATAAATCAATTTAAAGCAAAGTAACACGAAATTCATTGAAGTACTATTAAAAAAATTAATTACAATTAAAATTATCAAGTAAAAAAATGACAAATTATGAATAAACTTAGTTTAAAAAAAATCAAATAAATTAAAATATGCCAAATTAAACTAAATGAAAAAAATAAACTAAAATAAAGAACTTAAATGTTGTGAATCAGGCTGAAATAAAAACCAAATAAAAAGAAAAAAATTAATATCAAAATAAAATACAAAAATCTTTAAAATGATCTAATCAATTTAAATAGAAAAAAATTAAGGCAAACAAGGTATTAAAAGTAGTAAGAAAACTTAAATAAAAATAAAGAAAGAAAAATAAAATAAACTTTTTTTAGGAAAAAATTTAGGAAGTTTTATGGTAGAGTTTTAAAAAAATTTTATACCGCTGAGTCGATATTAGCATCGCATTATAAATATTATATTCTTCGACTACCATCTTCTATCGCTCTCTTGCGAAGTTACTGCATATACGTGTAGGTGTATCACTACGCGGACCCCGTGAACAGTGTTGTAATGATTCAATTTGTAGATACGGAACTCTGTAGTTTCATATGCTGGTCAAACTAGGACTCGAACCCTGATATTCCGTATATAAGTAAGCAATGATAACCCCGCCTCAGCTATTACGGCCGCCAATATTTCCTAAAATTAATAGCACGATACCCTTCTGTGTTTTTTTGAATGCTCATGAATTTGAGCTTCCATCAAACTATTTACGTTTGCTTTGTAAATCTTCAGATGAATTCAAGTCCCAGTAACTGATAAGCGTTGACCTGTGTTAGATATTATTTATGACAATATTCAAAATTGTTCAACCATCTTCTATTTTCAAAATTACAGTCATAAAAAAATGCCGTAATACATATTAAATTCTTATTTGTTCAATATATTTTGTATGTATGAATGTATACAGTGTAGCTATTCAGTGTTGCATTTATTTCTAATTTTTAACTAAGCAATTTTATGCGTTATTTATGCATTTAAAATAATTTATAATTTTTTCTTTAATTTTTTTCTTTATTTTCTTTTTTCTATTTTTCGTTGCATTTTCAACAATAATGACGTTGACGACAACTACAACTACAATATGAACAACTTCAACCGCCACTACAAAATTTCAATAACAACAACAATTGCTTTACATTACATTACAATCATCATCTCTACTGTTATTGCATTTCATTCAACTTCATCATACGTGCACATCATGCCATATGCAAATCATTCATGAATGCTTCATGCACCAACACCACCACCACCATCACCATCATCGCCACTGCCACTGCCACTGCCATTGCGACCGAAACCCATCAACCTGCGCTTGGGTAACCGGCGAAACGACAGTTTCAGGACCAGTGCCATGAAACACGTCAGCGCAGCCTGTCGGCGGGTAGTGAGGCATGTTGGTATAATCGACATATGCAACAACAACAACAACAACAACAGCAGCAGCAGCAGCAGCAACAGCAAGGTAAATTGGAGCAAACTCAACAGCAGCCGCAACAGCAACAACAACAGCAATTAGGCGATGTTGTCGAAGGCGTTCAACTACGTAATCCACAGAGAAGTCATACGGGCAATGCCGCCGGCTCAGTCGCTTTGGCGCAACGTCAACGAAATTCCGCTGAATGCTGGAAGACTGCATTGAATCGCAACGAATTGATGAGCATTATACGAGAGAGTATGGAGAAGAATCGTTTGTGTTTTCAGATGAGCGGGTAAGCACTGGGTGCTGGGGCATGGGTGGCTAATATTACATATTTATATACATACCTACATATGTATGTACATACATACATATATGCACACATATCTGTTTACCTATTCAACTAAGCGTATGCCAGCCAAAAAAAAAAACAAAATCAAACATAAACAAAATTATTTGTAGACATATACATACATACATATGTTCATATGTAATTTTTATTTGTCCCTACCAAAAAAAAAAAATCGACCACAACAACAGCAGTCATTGCAATCACCACTTTTTCTTTTTCTAAATTTATTATGCCTGATTTAGCAGCCAAACGGACGTTGCACAGTGGACCAAGAAAAAAATTTTTCCCCTCTCTTTTGTTGTTGCACCGTGAAGCTTTGATTTGCATTTTGAATTTATTTTCCTTTTTTAATAACTCTTCACCTACATTTTATTGTTTGAAATTTGCTGTTGTAATTATTTGATGTTGCATGAATCGTACTGAAAATTGAAAATTTAATATTTTATATGAAAAATCATGTTACTTCAGATTCCTTATCCAGGCTAAGGGTTGTTGAGGCTAATCGTTTATCAATATCATCGGCTTACTCAGCAGTTGCACGCTGTTAGAGAATATTGTAAATTCTGCAGCTCTTTTGGGTTTTTCCAGTTTTGGATTGAAGAAGTCACACTGAAAAGGCTCGTCCTACCTGAAACATTGTGTTGCGCCGAACGGCTCTGAGATCCCCTTTCCAATGCTAACCGAGCTTTTGCTGTTGCTCAGTGTCAGTTTAATCACTTCGGTTCGGCGCCTATCGGCCATAAAACGTTGCACACGGCCAGCAAATAAATATATTGTTACGATTTTGCTAAATTACCCTCTATTATTTCCTGAATCCTTCGGGTTCGATCTCTGGATTGTTAAATAAAAAGTCGCCAACTTAATTTGCAGTTTCTTTCGTTACGAAGAATTTATCTAATGTCCTTTATTTACTCAGTGCTTCACAATTCAATTACAAGGCACTTTACTAGCTGCAATCACTTGCATCAACTTTCACAATTTACTTTACTTAAATGTAATCCCAACGCGTTTACTTTACGACTCTTCACTGACGTTCTCGACAACGAGTTCACTTTGTAACTAACTTGACTTGGCAGCTGAGTGTCGCCCTTATATAGCAGTCGGCTGCTCGCAGACGAAAGCGTAAAAGCATCGAGTTGTTCGCTATCGAAGGTTCTTGTTTTATCGTTTTTAGAATGTACTAGTTATCGGCTTCTCTCTTCCATCTGACATTCGCATCGCATTTTCGCAACAATATTAACTCCTATTTCACAGATGTAAAAACGTCACCGAACCGTGTTGCTCGATCGATTTAAAAAAACTAGAATTATACGAGATAAGATAAAAATTCTGGCTGTCAACCGAAGTGGTCAAACAGCCGTATGTGCTTTGTGGAGTAGCCAAATTCAGACATTTGATAGTGACAGCCTTAAAATCAATCAAAAGATGATGTACCTCGATCCTATCCTCACCGCTGCTTCCAAGAACTTTCCTTATTGTGAACATCGGGCCGCTGGTGGATGTACTAGTTTTAGTCTTTCACATCTTACGCTCGATAATACCTTTTAAGGGATAATCAGTAGGCTTATCACACGTTAATTGACAGAGATAGAGATTGCAGGGTACTTCTTTTCATGGATTGTGCAGACTGGACTGCGGTTCCAATGGCCAAAAATATACTGCATAGAAGCTGATATCTTTATCTAGTCAGTACTCTGTTGATATTTGCATAGCTCAGCATAGGCTGTTCCTACTTTGTTAACATAAAAGCGGATAATCACTATTCGAACTTCATCACAGTCCGGTTAGAAAACGGTTGTACCACCATCTTCTATTGGAGAATAGACTTCTCCATTTCCAAGTGTTTCTTTTTCACTGATTGACAGAGTTTTTACTTTAAAACTAAATATACTCTGAAAGTCAGTTACATGATCCCCTTTCGGGAAAAACCCCAGTCATGAGACCTTCTGAATTCTTCTGAAATCTTTCGTAATTTTTTAGTTTTTGGCGGTCACAATAACCGTGTGGTTAGCATTGCGTGCGCCATTCGGCAGCCCAAGTTTCCAGTCTTGCTACGACCAACATCTAGAAAATAATAGGAAAATCCGGAGTACATATATTTCTGACTTAAAAATCAAAACTCCTGATAAAAATCTATCAGCCGGGCAATTCCATGATGCCCAACTCAAATTGTAGAAATTCGAAATACGCTCCAACGACTAAAAAACATTTCCTTCTTCAACTCTCGAAATCTTTGCCATACCGAGTTAAGTAGTATGATTTCTCTGCACTGTGTTGAGACAATCTTCACAGCACCACTTCTGTTTTAGACATTTGCGAAGGCCAACAACTTCGCTGGCCACCGTACATAGAGAACTTGAAATACCGCCCAACAGTTTCTTTGCTGATGAGTGCTCTAGAGAACAGGAGAGTGTAAGACGTGTAAAAAACCAGCTGGTTGTCTCTTGTGTTACAGCTTAGCGACCGTAACTGTTTTTGTTGACATGCTTTCTCGCGTCTTAGCGGCCGATATTCGTCTGAACTACAACAAGATGGCTGGAGTTGATGTTACATCCAAAGAGTACGCTTAACTAAAACACTGAAGTCATATTTTTCGTCTATCACAACATGGTCGATCTGATTCCGAGTTTTTTGGGCCGGTACCAACCAATCATCTCGATGAATTTTTTTATAAATATTTAGATCTAGTATCGCAACTAACTAAATGTCAGTAACCGACGAAGCTTATCAGCCTCAGCCCGTACGGGAGGTTTCAACCTGGAGGCTGAATTTTACAACTCTTGTGCCGGTATCTGCGGCTTTCTTTGCTCATCCTGTTGTGTCATTCTTAGTGCTCATAGAGAATTTTTCCCGAATAACCGTTCCGTTCCGACCGAAGTTAATTTTCCTTACTTACCCATTAAGAAAGTGTGAAGCTCCAAATTGAATGAACATTAATTATTTGCATTTAACCCTTCGAGTGCCAACTATTAACCTACTCACATACATCCATATACACACACACATGTATATATATACATACAAACCTACATATAATATTTACTCATTCATGTAATGCGTTATGTTTTATTGGCACTTACAGAAAACCTCAAGCAAATGTGAGTCCCATAAGGCAACCACAACTTCAACATCAACAGCCTCACAGTCAGCATCAGCAGCAGCAGCAGCAGCAGCAACAACATCGCCAGCGCTCAAATACGGTGTCGAAAATACCGACCTTAATTGTGAATCACAACAACAGTTGCATTTTGCCCAATACCAACAACAACAATACGCCGCACAGTACCAACAACCACAACAGCAGCAGCAACAACAACCATCACCATCATCATCACCATCACAGCCACCACAGCCAGCACAGCAACAACAGCCACAGCAGCAGTCACAGTCACAGTCACAGCAACAACAGTCACAGTCACAGTCACAGTCACAGCAACAGCAGCAATCACACGAACAACAACAGCAGCGAACTAAATTTACACGACATCAGCACCACCAACAACTCCACCAGCCAATACCATCCACAACCGCACATACCCATTTACCACCAACAAATGGCCATTAATCCTGCTGTTTTGGCCGCCCAAAGTGGCATGCAACATGGCACGCATAGCAAAATGAATTTGTGCGGCTACGATTCCTTTTTGCATGCAACCATTTGTGGTGGCGGCACAAGTCATTCGCCACCACCGCCGCCGCCGCCACCAGCAATGGCAACAGCGCAGCCTGTGGCGGCGATGACCAGTCACAATCTGTATACTAACATACAACAACAACAACAACAACAACAACAGCAACTAATTGCAACAGTACAACCCATAATGACAGCAGTTCCTAGCAGCCAGAGTACGCCGGCAAAGGTCTTCCTCAACTCCACCACACACCAGATCAAAACGAGCAAAATACTGCGTAGCGGCTCATACTCACAACAACAACAACAACAGCAGCAGCAACAGAGCCTAACTACACATAATTCGCCACAATACCATGGCTATCAGCGTCTTTCATCATCGAACGCCCATCACAGCCACAGCCCGCACCATATACAGCAACTGCATCAGCAATGCGCTAACAAGCTCGCCGCTTTAAATCTCACCGGCGCGCAATTGGAGCGCACGCCACCCGTGGAAAATGTCGAAAAATGGCTGAAACACAACGGCAGCGGCGGTGGCAGGCAAGAGCGTAAAGCCAGCGGCGCCACAAAATACGCAGACAATGCCATTTATGCTAAACTGAGTGAAAAACTGCAGGAGAGCGCTTTGAGCACGCATAATCAACGTCGCAAACACAAATCAGCGCATAAGACGCGTACGCCAGTTACGCGAAAAGTGGCAACAGCGACGGAGAAGAAAACGTTCAGCACAGCGAACGGTGTGCACTCGAGCAGCTCGAATACGAGCATAGGCACTTATGCGGCGCTCATACCGATACATGGTGATCCGGCCGAGTGCGAAAATCTCATTGCGCCCACCACCACCGACGATGAGGCGATCAACGAAGCGCCAAGTGCATTGTTGTTTGGTGCATGTCAAATGGATCTACCAAAAACAGCAGTAACTTCAACGCCAATTAAGAACACAACAGGCAGTTCAGCATCGGAGGCAATGGACGAAGAGCGCAACGTTATGGCCTCCGCGAATTTGTTGGATTTAAGCGATGCGGCAGCTGTTGAAGCTGAAGCTGAGAAGATGACGCCGGAAGTGGATCTCGATTTGACGCTACGTGCTGATGAAGTAACGGCAGGTGTTGACCAGATAGGTCCGGCTGTGGATGTGGGTGCGCAAGGTGAAGTGGAGGAGGAAGATGATGACGAAGAGGAAGCAGGAGAGAGTGCAAGTGCAGCGAATACGAGCGGCAGTGGTTCATCGCTGATACATCGCTACGTGCATGAGCATATACATCATCACTATCATCATTTTGAGGAAAAAGACGAATAAATAGCATTAATAGAAATATGTATACTAAAAACACAAACAATATACATACATATATACACATGTATATGAGATTAGGTTCAATTAATGGACCAAGTGTTAGACTAAAATTGTATAGGGAATTTCTTAGTAGTATTATAATTGAAATACACAAACAAACAAACAAACAAGCACACACACAAATACACGAACACAAACAAACAAAAGAATTTAAGTGTTGCTTAGCTGTTATGTAACTTGTATGTACATCTTTATTTGTTTTTAAGTAATTTTTTTAGCGAATTTTCGGCAGCGAGCCAACATTTCAGCTGCTCATTACAAAGCTTATGCGCCTAAAAGTATGCTATTAATGTTGTTGCTTAGTGTAGTAATTAACAGGGGAAGGAGAACATAGAAATGAAGTATGTATGTATAAGAAAAAAAAGTTTAATTGAATGAAAAGAAATGAAAAGAAAATGTAAAAATAAATTATAAATTCTACATATAATAATTGGGCAGTGGAGGTGTCGTTCGCCTGCAGGTATTTGCAAATGTAAAGGCGTTCGATTGAGTAATACGAAAATTTTTTCAATTTGTAATATTTCAATTCACTCCATCATAACATAACATTTTTATTTCTTTAATTAATTTTGACAAATTTTTTAATCCAAAAATACTGCGTGGCTATTATACAAGCGCCAGTCCTAGACTTATAATAATTCAATGTGAATTTTTTTTATACATCAAAATTTTCACATGAAACTAAATTTTCCGTCTAAAAATCGTCTCAGTAAAGCAAATTTCCATATCTTTTTTATGTGGCTTTTGAGCCTTTAAATTTGGCAAGTTTAGACTGTTGATTTGAAGAAATCTGTAAACTGCTCAACAAAACTCCTTTTTCAATTTCCAAAGCAGCTGTGGAATGCAACTCCCACAACATTCTATGAAATTGCTAGCCTGAATCTGGTATTATGAGCAGCGCTCGATCTTCGTCTGCATTCGAAAGTGACGCTCAAATGATTTTTGCTTTGGTATTCTGTAAGCGCTTTCGATGAAGAGTAACAAAATAAATAATTTCTTTTGACTAATACAATTTTTTACAAATTGAGGAAATTTAAATAATGAAAAACAAAATAAATTAAGGAAATATGTTTGAATATGGTACTTGAAAATGGTTACGACGCAGTTGTGACTTGTAGATTTTTGACTAGAAGATGAGGTTTTAATCGTATAGAAGCCTACAAATCCTCCACTTTCAACGTCTGAACTTTGAAATAAACCTTTTTTGAAAAGTAATGAAAAAATTCCTCAATGCCCATATTGTATGACACCATTGCCCAGATTTAATATAACTTACATACATATAAATCAAACGAAAATTATTTATTTCACAAGACATGAAAACACAAATGAATTTATTTATATATCTTAACTACATACATACATACAAATATAAATATGTATGATTTTCAAAATTTAATTATTTATTTGACTTTACATTAATTAAATTTTTTCTTTTATGCTTAAATAATATATTTTGGGCAAATGCTTAACAGTTGAATTTGAATGAATGTTTTACAAATTTAAAGCAAAAAAAGGGTGTGTATAAATTCTATAGCAAAAAAAAAACAGATTGTGGCCAACATATCCGCGCAAGCATATCAAAATTGCTACGCTTTTCGATTGAGTTCAAATGAAAAATTAAACAGCAAACTAAAATACTCGCATGAAATAAATAAAAAAAAAGCTGCATTATTTCGAAAATACTAATGAAATGCTGTTAAAGTGCAAAATTTGTATTTTTGATTATTTAATTTTTATTTACTTGTATTAATTTTTTTGTTGAATTAAAAAAAAATATTTTTTTTTAATATTAAAAATTATAAAATAGATTCAGAAACAGTTAAATGAAAAATTGTGCAGATTTACCTTTAACTAAAAGCAACGTATGAACAAATTTTTTTAATATTTTCTTGAAATCATAAATGTGTATAATACTTTTTGTAATTTTTTTCTCAAAAACTTTGAAAAAGCAATGCACCATATTTTTAATATTTCGCTTATATCCCTCTTTATATTACCTTAACTTAATTTTTAATGTTATTTTAATTTGATTTAATTTATTTTATTTTATTGACTGTTATTTTCTTTTATTTTAATTTATATTATTTTGTTTTCCTTTATTCATTTTATTGTTCATTATTCATTTTATTTTATTTACTTTTCTTTATTTTATTTAATTTATGTTATATTANTTATTTTATTTTATTTTATTTTATTTTATTTTATTTTATTTTATTTTATTTTATTTTATTTTAATTTATTTTATTTCATTTTATTTTATTTTATTTATTTTTTTTTAATTTCTATTTTATTTTAATTTTATAAAGAGCATCGGTCAAAAGCTTTTCAAATGAAATTTATTAAAAAATTAAAAACGTACCATAAAACGCTTGCAGTATTTTTTATAGAGGCATTAAAGAAAAGCTGCTTAAAGACAGAGAAAAATAAGTTCAAAAAAATAAAAATTAATGAGAGAAAGAAAATATACTTTTAGATGTCAAGAAGTATAAAAACGTTATTTATGGCAAAAGAAATAGAAAATTAAAATGTTTAACCAAATATCGACGTATATGCTATACCTACATACATATGTACATTTAACTGTACAAACATATATCATTGTGTATATTTCAAGGAAAGTAAGGAATTTAATTAGAGCACTAAGAATTGAATGCTAAAAAAATATTATAAAATTAATTATAAAAAAATATTTATGCATCCATAATGAATTGTTACTAACACATGCGCACAAAAAAAATTATATGCTGCATACATATATAAATATGAGAAACAAACTCAAGCTCACAACATAAACTCAAACTAGAAAATACATATGTACACACATACAAATATATATTAAAATTCTAATACAAAGAATTTTTCAAGACAAATGTAAATTAAAATATTATTGTTTACATAATAAATATATATGTATGTATAATAAATATTAAAAAAAAAGCTATAAAAAATTTAATGTGCAAAAAAGTTACTCTGAAGCGCATTTGTTGCTAATAAATACAAAAATGAAACAAATATACAAATAAAAATTATAAAATATCAACACAAACGCATACACAAATTTATATACTAAATATATAAAGAGCTACATAAATGTTTTGCGTAAACATAAAAAAAATTAAAAATAAAAAAAATTAATATAACATTAAAAGACTTAGCTAAAATTTCTTTAACGGTACTTGAGTAGCGGAAAACAAAGCGAAGCAGATTCAAGATTCGTTACAAATGCAACACAAACTACTAAGTAATTACATGCACAGCTATATATGTATAATTTGCACCTGAACTTTTCTGTATATTTTTTTTTAAATTAAATTAAATTTTTAAAAAATTAAAAATTTGTTCAGCATACTCAAAATATATATATATATATATATATATATATATATATATATATATATATTGTACTTTTAAGTAAAATGATTTTATTAACAAGTAGTTGTATGTATATAATAAATACAAAGGTACATACAATACGTCATATATATATATATATATATTGTACTTTTAAGTAAAATGATTTTATTAACAAGTAGTTGTATGTATATAATAAATACAAAGGTACATACAATACGTCATTATCACCATTCAACTTTGCCAATCAATCAATCAACCGATAAACCAACGCTGAATCTTGTATTTTTATAAAATAGTCAATTTTTCTATATAATTGTAGTTACATATATGTATAAATTATTATTATTATTATTAAATATATACATACATATATACAACAACCAACTGCTGCAGAATAAGTTCAACACTGTTAATACAAATCTATATGAATATTATTTTTTCTCAAAATACATAGAAAAAGACTGATTTCCATTTGTAAATTTATTAGAAAAGATCAAGATTTCTTTTTAATTAAATAAATAAATATGTACGAATAATGGAAATGCATAATAACAATAAATTATTGAATGAAATGTGTAAATTTACAAAGAAAAAGTTGGTGTTCTATTCTTTTCCGAAGGGGCAAACATGTGAAAACGCTTCCACAATCGTCTATTCTGATAAGTCCGGTGCGCCTAAAAGTAGCCAAATTTACAATTTTACTTAGAAGCTTCTCCGCCTACTCCTTTCTTGTCGGTTTTCTTATTATTCTTATTCTTATTCTTATTCGTCTGTTTCTACCAGTGAGTACCGCATCGTATACTTTCCATACTGGTATGATTTCATCCATTCAGTCGTATATGCTGTACAGCTCTCCGTTCCTTTTTCTGCGGTTTTCGCCGTTGCCAATACGCAAAGAACCTTAAAGGCTCCACAAAACCTTACACTCGAAAACTCTTAACGCCTACTCATCAGATGTTGTCATCGCCCATGCTTCCGCAGCACATATAGCAGGACGGGAACGATGAGCGGCTTGTAGAGTTCGGTCTTTGTTCGTCGAGAGCGGACTTTATATTTCAATCGTCTACTCCGTTCAAAGTGGCATCTGTGGTAAGGCTGATTCGGCATTGGATTTTAAGGCTGAAATTGTTTTTGTTGTTAACACTAGTTCAAAGATAGATGAACTTATCTACCTTTTCATAGTTGTGACTGCCAACAGTGACGTGGGAGTCGAGTAGCGAATGCGTTGATTGTTTGTTTGTGGAGAGGAGTTATCTCGGGGTTGCCTCTTTCACTACCAGACCCATTCGCTTCCCTTCTTTATCAAGTCTGGCGCGGTTATTGAGGCCAGTAATGTCAATATTAGACCTTCTCTATTCAGCTCTGCAGCTCTTATTATTCTCTCCAGCATCAAATTAAAGAAGTCAAACGATAAGGAGTTGCCTTGTCTGAAACCTCGTTTGGTATCGAACGGCTCGGAGAGGTTCTTCCAAATTCTACATAGCCGTATAAGTTTTGTGGGGATACCAAATTTATAAATAGCAGCGTAGAGGCAACTCCATTTCTTGCTGTCGAAGGCGGCTTTGAAATCGACTAAAAGGTGGTGTGTGACGATTCTCTTTTTACGGGTCTTTTCCATGATTTGGCGAATGGTGAATATCTGGTCAGTGGTTGATTTACCAGGTCTAGAGACACACTGATAAGGACCAATCAGTTCGTTGACTGTGGCTTTAGTCTTTTACACAATACGCTCGACAGGAGATTATGTGTAATATTAAGTAGGCTTATCCCACGGTAATTGGCGCAGACTGTGGAGTCCCTTTTTCTATGAATTCGGCAGAGCACACTTAAATTCCAATCGTCAGGCGTGCTTTCGTCCGAATATTTGGCAAAATAGCTGATGCATGCACCTTGTCAGCTCTGCACCGCAATGTTTGAATAGCTCGGTTGTGATCTCCAGCGAACTATTCGAACTTCTTCATGGTCAGCTAATGAAAAGTCTTTTCCATAGTCATCAATTCGAGTTTCAGATACACTTTCTCCAGGTGTTGCATTTTCACTGCCACTCAGCAAGCTGGAGATTTATTCCCTCCACCAATTCAAGATACTCTGAACATCGGTTCCTTGATCACCTCTCTCTGTCCTACAAGAGTCTGCTCCGGTATTGAAACCTTCTATGAGCAGTATTATCTTGTCATAGAATTTTCCTGCATTAGCCTTGACGGCCAGTTTCTCAAGCTTTTCATAATCACACATTCCCCCCTCATTCTTTTTTGTCTGGAACTGCGTCTTGCCTCCCAGCTCTCGGCATCTATTCCACCCCGTACGTATTGTGGTCGATGGCAAGGTTATGAGTTTTCTTTTTCTCTCTACCACAGTTCGATATTCATCATCGCACCATATCTTTTCCTGGCATTGATCAAAACAAAATGTTTCCGTAGCGGCTGCCCACAGTACCCTTACGAGTATATCGAGTTCCTGATGACTGCGCTCAGAAAGCATGCGTACAAGTCGAGTAGAAACCCGTTTGACTGTTAGTCGAGATTGCAACTTTTCGAAGTTGAACCTTCTTTGTGTTTGTTGACGGACGGACACAGAGGCGCGTGCGTATCTTCGCTGCGATGAGATAGTGATCCCAGTCGATACAAGGTGCACAGCTGTACTGAAGATATCTTCTTTGTTCAGCCTGGCGTTAAAACCGCCAAACCCCATATTCACCTCATGGTGGTGGCAGTGCTCATGAGTATGCTCCAAGCGCTCAAAAAAAAAGCGTCTTTGGACACATCATCCTTCTCCTTTGTCTAGATGTGAGTACAATGAGCGCGGCATGTTGTAAAATTTCACTTTGATGCGAACTCTAGCTAGACGTTCATCCAAAGAAGTGAATGTCCACCACAAATCCAATACCAAATTTGCACTCCTTTATTCCGCCGCTGCAGTAAATTTTCCAAAGATCCATCATCTTCTGTCCTTGTCCCGTACATCGCACTGATTGTACGGCGGTGATGTCAGCCTTTAATCTTACTTATTAGGACGTCAACAAGGTAGGAAGTGCCTCTTACCCTATTTTAAGGGATTGGACATTCCAGTATGAACTTCTACACATGGCCCCATCGCCTTCACTGGACCTTACATCTTTAAAAGCGACGACGGCGAGGCTTTCACTGTTAATTCAGGGCGTTATGGCCGTAGGACAACCGACTTTTTTTGGCTTGCAAATCGGGAAAATTGGACAAATTAGGTCAAAACTCAATAGATGAAATATGTATGTAATCCTTTACGTCAATCTGTTTAATTTAAATGTACTCTTTTGAAAAATGAAAAACATATGTGTCTTTGTTGTTATATTTTATATTGTTTATATTATTTCGTATGTTTTTATTTCCACTAAAAGACACGCCTCCACTTTCCCATGAAAATATTTATGCGTTTTTGTGCGCACTACAAAGTTAAGACATTGTATATATATATACTATATATGTATATATGTATATATGTATATAAGGTTATATATGTATGTGTGTATGTATGAAGCAAGCAGCTTAAGCAAGATCAGAGAGCTTCTATTAATAATATAAATGATGGAAAGCAACAAAACGTAGAACAAACAATAGACGATGTTCGATCATTAGAAGGCTTGTACAAATTGTATACAAACAACATATACATATATGTATGTTTAAGCATACACACCTCCCTAACGTTTTACCGTCACTAAAAAAAAAAAAAAAAAAAAAAAAAAAAAATCTCGCGCTACCCGCAAATCGGCGCACTTCGCCTGTGACGCCCTCAAATGACGACACTCGGCCTCGCTCGCCTGATGCGCTCTGCAGCACCGTTGCATAGTCGTTGATCATTCAAATTCGTATAACGGCATTTTCGGCAGCTAAATGTGCATGAATGTACTGTGTTAAGTGGAAAATTTGAATTGAATTTTCAGTTCTACGATCTACGCTGTTGGCCATACTCGAATTTATTTCTTCGAACAGTTGCGTCGCGACTGGCGATTACGCAAACCGAAAATTTTTTGAAAATATTCGATTCGATCGTGGCGTGCGTGAGATTTTATTAAAAATATATATGTATATGTGATAAAAATTTGCATATTAAAACGTCCACGAAGAGTGTAGCACAAAAAAAAAAAAACAAAATAAAAGTATATTAAAATATTTTCAAAATCGCCGTGAAAAATTATGACAAATCAAGGGAAGTGCGCAGTTTGTGGAGTTGCCGCGTCGCAGAAGTGTGGTGGCTGCCGAAATGTTGTCTATTGCGGCAAAGAGCATCAGATCATACATTGGAAGAAGGGTCATAAGGGCGAGTGCAAGTGTTATGAGGTGAATGAAAGTGGTTGAGAAAAAAAAATAAATAAAAAAATTAAAAAATAAAAACAGAAAATTACGAAACCTAAAAACGAGTTCAAAATTGTTTAAGTTGAGAAAATACATTCCTTTAAATTAGAGCTCTAGTTACCCAGGTATCGAGCAGTGTGAGCGGCTCGATACTCGCTCGACACTCATTCGTTGCTCAGCTACTCAAATGATAGTTCGAAATTTTTTAAATTTAAATTTTGTATATCAAAATTTCCTTAGTATTTTACACTTTGCATAAATAAAATTAAAATTAAAAAAGTTAGTTCCGGGAAAAAAATAAAATTTTTTATTCAAAATGCTCAAAAATGCTCGAACAAAATCTTGAGCTCGACTTTAAATGAACTTCGTGAAATTTCGTAGGGCCATAATATTTACGAATGTACCCTTCAGGGAAAGATGCTAGTCTAGTTCAGCTGATTTAAATTTTATGTAAAGTGCTCCACATGCATCAGTTTGATACTAGTTAAATACTAGTTCATTCGGCCATGATGAATCACCTCATCGGAATAATAAACAAAAAAATGCATACAGCGAGATCCGAAGCGTGAATCTTGAACCAGTCGTGACTAGACTAGGGAGTACTTTTGTGATTACAACAAACAACAACAATAAATACAAGAGAGCTCTTCTGAACTTCTCAATAACAGTTCAGAACTAGACTTTACAAGTTATTTATGTTATCTTTCTCGTTCTCTTTTATGATGTAGAGGCATGGAGGTTGGGTAGTATGCGCCGAGTTGGATTTACAAAAGGAATGTTTTGCTGAAGATTTATGGTTCTCTACGTATGGGCGCTGAAGAATACCGCTGCTGCTGGAACAATAAACTCTATGAAATGTTTAAAGACAAAAGTAAAGGTTCAAGCAACTATGAGATCAGCGACTAAGCTGGCTAGGTCATGTCGTCCAGATGAACAAAAACACTTCAAATATTCCATGCAGTACACGCTTTTGGATGTGGGGGAAGAAGTAAGAAGAATGGCTAAGGTGTAGACGAACTCACTTGACTTCACTCCAATTGAGACCAGAAGATAAAAAATTAAAAGAAAAGAAGAACGCTTTAGCATTTAAGAAGAAAAAAGTTTAACTCTTTCCGACAGACTTACTAACCTGTTGGATAGCATAAACTTAGGTTAGGTTAGTTTACCCCGTCGGGTCGCTATGCCCTATATATGTATGCATATTTGTGGGCCAGATGGTAGGAGGTTTAATATAATTCGTGTTAAAGTAGGCATCACGCAGGTTGTCAGCGCAATTTTGCAAGTTTAAGAGAGTGTTGATATCCAGTTTTGAGATTACTTTTAGTTCTTCGTACAGCGAGGCGCGGAAAATTTAACTAATTTTTTTATATAAATTAATTTTCCATAAATTTGGATGCTGCTCATACTAGGATTTGAACCCGAGCCTTCCGAATGGCAGTATTGTATTGATTCCATTCCCAGACGGATGGCACTGCTGACAATCTCAACAACAATCTCAACAATCTAACAATATTTCGCCCCTTGGCGGGGAATGTCCACTCCTCCGGTCATGAAATAAAGGCTCCTTATAAAAGAAACCATCAGCCATTCGGAGGCGGCTTAGTATAATAATCATCAAAACATCAATTAGAGGAGGAGCTCGGCCGAAAATGGCTTTAGCGATAAACTTAATGAAAACAGTACATAACCTCATACTTTCCATTCGCAACTAACTATTCTATAATCATTTTCACCACAGCATTTAAAGGAATATCCCCAAAATACCATCAAAAATAGTTTCTCCCTTACACTTACATGCATACACATAGTATTTTCTCACATTTACCGCTAATTGTGTATGTATGTACGTTAAATTAATTTACCATTTGTTGGCAAAACATCAAGTTTTATCGACGTAAAGGAGGTGATTAACCTGCCAACCAGACGTTGTTGCAGGTGGTCGGTCATTGATGCTACAAGTGGCAAGCATGAGACGATATTTCGAGCAAAATAGAATAAACACACATACATACATATGTAGTTATGTGTATTTAAAAATAACAAAGTAACGGAACATTGTGGTAGCGGAACAACAACAACACAATTGAGTAAATATTTATATTCACTTTGCTTACAAAACGATAACTTTGGTTGGCAGCAACAGGTGGCCGCGAAAAGTAATCGCACACAATGACTGGCAAAAAAAAAATTATAACATAAACCCACACACATCAGTATATATAATAAATAATATGTATCTAAATATACATACGAGTTGTGTGTATTGTGAGGAGCAAAATTTCATAGAAAATTTTTTATAATTTTTTTTTTTTTAAATTAAGTCCATGCCAATTGCTGAAGCAGCAAGAGCAAACTTATTTTCTGAAATAAATGCAGGGTTTCCCATTAAGTGGTGTTATTTTGATAATCAAAGAAAAATCGCCTTTTTGAAATTTCTATTTCAAAATTAAAAGGAAGATTTGTCATTAATAATAGATATCAGCCAAATGGCTTTCACGGCTACTCTTTCATCCGTATGCTTTTTATGAAAATTTCCTTCACGAAATCGCAAAGTGGCTGCTGTATGCCCTCAGTAGCTTTACGAATTCCATCCTTGAAGTCTTGAGTCGACGTTGGCCTCTTGGCGTAGATCTTATCTTTCACGTGGCTCTAAAGAAAGAAGTCGCAAGATGTTAAACCAATTAAAATCAATTCTTTGAGAGATAAAACGTTCCGAAAACTTTTTCTTTAAAATAACGATTGTTTCGTTGCGTGTGTGGCACCTAGCGTCGTCGTGTTGAAAGTAAACATTGCTTAGATCAGTATTATCCAATACCAGCTATAAGAAATAATGAATCATCTCTCGATAGCGGAATCCATTCACCGTAACTGTTGCTCCAACCTCATTTTTGAGAAAGTAATTTCCAATGACACCGCCGGAACGTAAACCATACCAAAAAAATACACTTTGAGAAGGTAGTAGCTTTTTAACAATAAATCTTTGACTTTCGGAACCTCAAATGCGATAGTTTTGCTTATTGACGTAACCATCGAACCATCGAGCCATCAGTCAAGATGATTTTTCAATGAAATTCCGGAATATTTTCCAGGACCCAAATAGCAAAGACACGACATTGTTGATGATTGTCCCGCTTGAAATCTTGTTGTTTTATTCTTCAGAATAGCAGGCTATTCATAATAATGCTTCTTATTTGAATTGAATTGGTTATGATCACGTTGAATTTGAATTGATTGTAGTGTCAAAACTGTTGGCGATGTGTTTCACGACTATCCGGTATAAGTTTAACAATACGCAAAATTGAAATCAAATGCAGTAAGCAGCATATTTGCCTAATAAAAAATGGCGATGCAAAAAGGACATCCGTCAATTTATGCGAATCGTAAGTCAAAATACGAGTATAATGCCATCTATCGGGTTGAGCCATTGATCGGATCACAGCGCCACCTATTGGTCGATTATCAAGAGTTCACTTAAACGTCTTTCATTGTAATTATACAAAATGTTTCCAAGCTTCACAACAAATTTTGCAATTTTAGGAATATAATTGACATTTCGTCGAAAAAAAATTAAATTTTCTCATTTTCCTCATTTTGTTAGGGTTTTACACCAAGAATTTTCGGCTTTTTCATTCGGAACAATTGTGCTTAAAATTCAATACAAACAGACAACTGAATTAACCGTTCTCAACAGTTAAACAGACTGACTGCAATTACGGTGAGAAAATAAGGAAGCTCTCTGAAGAGACTCTCGGGTAAATGCAATCTAATCGGGCACCTTACGGAATCATTATAACGTGTCTCGCAGCCACATTGACTCAACTCCACTCCACAGAATTTAGAGTAAAAAATATTAAATTTTTAATATATTAGTCTGCGAAAGAATCTGGATATCTCGATAAGAAACAACAACTGGTACAATATTGCGCAAAACATCTGGGACAACTGGCGGCTATTGGAGATACAAATTAATTGGGACCGTACTCAAAAGATCGATCCACCTGCAGGTTGTGACCGATTTCGGAGAGGTTTCACAAATGTCAACAATAATTGGTGTACAACAACGTTTGTTCCTCACAAGAACATTATTTTTTTGCCTCTTCGAAATTATCCGGTTTTGTGTTAGGCAAACAGCATTTGCTGGAAGTTTTGATTTTCTATTTTAATTGGAAGGGAAGTGCTGCTGAAGCCCACCCCGGGTTGTGAAAGTTTATGGTGTCATGCACAAAGTGGTTTCGACACTTTAAAAGTGATGATTTTAGCGTCGAAGACAAATAGCGTCTTGGTCAACCCAACCCAAATAGTTTGAAGGTGACTAATTGGAGGCTTTGCGAGATAAAGATCTGTGCCAACTAGAAGAAACCATTGATTCAACTCATTATAGACTTCAGCTACTGCGTGAGAAACAGTCAGAAACGACCGAAGGGCTTGACAGAATGCTTTTGTAACATGACATAGCCCAGCCCCACGTGGAGGTAACTGTCAAAAACGCTGGAAATACTGGAATGAGAGGTCTAACCGTACGTGTTCCATTCTCCAGATCTTACTCCTACCGACTACTGGCTTTTTGGATAGATGCAAAATTATTTGGGGAGTGGGGTCTCCGGTTCGAGTCTTCTAAGATATTTTTAAATTTTTTTTTTTTTTAATAACAAACACTTTTTAGAACACAAAAAAATGGACGGAATGAATTTGTGTCCCCCCAACCAACCTCTTTCGATGTAGTACTCGCCGGCGGAAGCAGAGAAAGAGGAAGACTTTCACTCCGTTGGAAAGGCCAAGTAGATTAGAACGTGGCTGCACTCCATTTTCAATTGGTGCCAAAAATTTAAACTACTTTTTTTACAAAAAAAAAATTTAATAAAACGATTGGCTTCTGATATAACCATTATTTTATAGGTCGCCACAAATGATACATTGGGTCGCCATTTACGCGCCACCCGCGACATTAAGAAGGGTGAGATTTTTTTGCGTGAAAAACCCTTCATCTACGGACCCAAGGTAGCCAGTGCGCCTACGTGCTTGGGTTGCCATCGCACATTGCAAGCACCGGAGCCGCCACAAACAAATTTCTACAAATGCACACGTTGCTCATGGCCTTTGTGTGGTCCACAATGCGAACGTTCGACCCATCATATTGACGAGTGTGAACTTATGACGGCGCGTAAATTTAATGCCAAAATCGATTATAATCCAAACAAAGAACAAACAGGCAAAAAGGAGTCAGCTTATTGTGTCATCTTACCACTGCGCTGCATTTTGTTGAAAAATAAGAATCCCGAAGCTTTCGCACGTTTCTCCCAACTGGAAGATCACCTCAACGAACGTAAAGATACGCCACTCTACAAAATACTCGGCGCAAACCTGCTAACGTTTATCAAAACTGTAATGGGTTTCAGCGAGTGGAGTGATGAGGATGTGTTGCGCGTCGCAGCGCGTTTGGACACCAACGCATTTGAGGTGCGTCAAGTAGCGACGGGTCAAAAACTGCGTGCAATCTATCCAAACGCCGCGATGATTTCACACGATTGCGTGTCTAATGCACGCCACACCTTCGACGCGCAAATGCATATACTCTTCATAGCAAAACAGAAGATCGCGAAGGGTGAAATAATTGCAACCTCCTATACACAGCCGCTTAAGTGTACGCTCATGCGTCGACAGCATCTACTGCAGACCAAGTGCTTCGAGTGTACTTGTAAGCGTTGCAGTGATCCCGAGGAGTTGAGCACATTCGCTGGCGCTATTCTATGCAGCAAGTGTAAGATTGGAAAGGTAAGTGCGGGGAAATAGAAGATCATGAGTACCCCACCGCTCGAACTCACTGTTTCTTTCTTTTCTTTTTTGTTTTTGCAGATAATATCGACAAATCCGCTAGACAACGCCGCCTTGTGGAAATGTCAACTGTGTCCGCACGAAATACCCGCCAAGCAAATCAATTGGGGTAACGGCGCCATGGTGAAGGAGATTGAGTCGTTAAATAAAAAGTCGCCGCGCGTCTTCGAAGAGTTCCTACACCGTTACCGCGACACGCTGCACGAGAAGAACACGCATGTGCTGCAGGTAAAATACGCGCTGACGCAACTGTATGGAAATGCGCCCGGATTTCAAATGCACGGTGAGTCAATTACCTGGAATATATAACACTTTAACAGAAACATCTCTGACTCCAGAAATGAATGATGCGGCTGTTAAACGTAAAGTGGAGCTCTGCCAAGAACTTTTGGATATCGCGGACATACTTGATGGCGGATTTAGCATTTTCCGCGGTAATTTATTACTTGATCTACAGGAAGCCTTGGTCGTGCAAGCAAAACGCGAATTTGAGCAGGGCTTATTGACAAAGACCAATGTTCAGGAGAAGCTTGCAGAAGCGATGGAACTGCTGAAGGAGGCAGTAGAAATCATGAAGCTCGAACCCGATATGCAGGAAGTATTAAAGGAACGTACTCAGCAATTGGCTGATGAGCTTGAAATGGATTAAAGAACTATTTTTAGTTCAGACTTAAATTTTATTAACTTTTTTTAGAGTAGAATATTAGCAATAAAAAATTAATTGAGAAACGTTTGGTTTTTGTTCACAGCCAATGTATGTAAATATTTCTTATGTGAGACCGCTTTGGCCTTCTCCTGATGTTTGGCTTTGACTACCTTTCACAAACTCTATAATACTTTGAGCGTCAGTCACCATATCCCCTCCCCACTAGCTTGTTAGGCTCCTTCCATTCACCCATTTCTGATTCTAGCTTTTTCAGTCTATGAGTGTGTCTAATTTCCCTCTTAAACTCTCGATAGCTCTCCCACAGCTATAAGAATGTGGTCCAAGTCGATGTTAGATCCTTAGAGCATACGTACATCCAGAAAACTGAACACATGTCGTCGTTCTATCACAACATAGTCCATCTGGTAGAGAGTTTTTATATCTGAAGACAGCCAAATAGCGTGATAAATTTCGCCTGCGGACTGGTTTTGTGATCGCCGAGCATAATTTTCATAAAAGGCTTGAGGGCAAATCAGCTATGAGATGAAGAATTTTGACTTGAAGCGAGTTGTGAGATTGGGTTCCGCAGGATGATGTCCTCTCCCCACTGTTGTTTAATTTCTACATTTCGAATCTCCCTCATCCACCAGAAATAGTTTCTTTAACTTCATATGCCGATGATTGCACGATATTGGCGTCAGGCCAGAATCTTGATCCGAGACCCGCGTGACACTGGCACAAATTAGGTCTGGATATTGTAGCAGGTTAAACTCCTGCTGATCCAGACTCGAGCCCAATATACCCAACGTATGCTCTGCATGTGAGGAGTTTCCGAAAGACCAACCACCTCTTCACATGCCTCCTAAAACCGACACATTTAACATCCCTCTCCCCCTCTCTGGTCCGATCACGTTGAAGCGGAGTTAACGAAGCCGCTAAAACAACAATTGCACTTGGCAGCTGATAATATATCTCTGACCATGAACTGGACATTTATGTGACCGTAGGGGTATTTGTCACAGGGAACTTCTAGGCGCATATATCCGCCCTTAGTATTACGAGAACATCAGTGACCTGTTCATAAATGGAAGTCCTAAAACATTTGAAGTAGTCATCTACGAAAGTGGAGTCTATCTCATTGAGAACTTTCATTACAGCTATTTTCTACGTGGTAGTTGCCAAAACCTACGCATAACATCGCTACGGGGGTAGATAGGAGAATGAGGACACTTTTTCATGGTGAGCCGATTGCTCCAAGACCATTGTCCGTTCCCAGCAGCACCTATTATCAACAGGCACTAAAAAAATACTCTAGAGAACTCTTTAACCGAATGTGTCGTAGTACGCAATATTTTAGGCTCAACCAAAGGCTTCACACACGAGCAAATTGTTTGTTAGAGATACCTGCTTTTTTTTATTTTGATATAAGTTCAATTAGTTAATAGGTTAAAGCACAAGGAAGAAAAACTTAAGGAAAAAAAAATTAATCTTCACAAGTCTGATTTCTCGAAATGATTTCATATTAGTCAAAATGGCGTTACATTGCAAACATCACGCCTAGATGTCGCCGCAAGCATGCATTACAAAATTTTCATTAAAAGCTATCACCCAATTAAATCAACAGCTGTTTGTGACAGTTCTTTGACTACTGAAATGATAAGCAAACGTTTACTAACTTTGTACGAAAGAAAAGAATTATACTAAAATCTTTTTTGTGAAGTAAAATAAACTAAAGTAAGTTATTTAAAAAGTTCCAAAAATGTCGAATATAACAGCAGCGGTAATTGCGAATCGCAATAAGAAACACTTTCTAGGTGTGCCGGCACCACTTGGTTATGTTGCTGGTGTTGGTAGAGGGTGAGTAAATAAACAACTTTTCATCACAAATAATGAATATAAAAAACATATTAAATATTAAATACTAAACTTTATTTTCTATACAGTGCCACTGGTTTCACCACACGTTCTGATATTGGTCCCGCACGTGATGCTAATGATGTTTCTGATGATCGACATGCACCGCCTGCGGCTAAACGTAAAAAGAAAGAGGAGGAAGAAGAAGAAGATGAAGATTTGAATGATTCCAATTATGATGAATTCAGCGGTTATAGTGGTTCATTGTTCTCTAAAGATCCATACGATAAAGATGACGAAGAGGCTGATCAAATTTACGATTCAATAGACAAACGAATGGATGAAAAGCGTAAGGAATATAGAGATCGGCGCATGCGTGAAGATTTAGAACGTTATCGTCAAGAAAGGTATGTGTAACAGTATATATACATGCCTAGATATGTGTAACTAAAATTTGTTATTCTCTGTATTTTTAGACCAAAAATTCAACAACAGTTCTCTGACCTGAAACGTTCTTTGGCAAATGTCACTGCTGAAGAATGGTCAACCATACCGGAAGTAGGTGATAGTCGTAATCGTAAACAGCGTAATCCACGCGCAGAAAAGTTTACACCACTACCGGATAGTGTACTGGCACGTAATCTCGGAGGAGAAGCTTCATCTACATTAGATCCATCATCTGGTTTGGCTTCGATGGTACCAGGCGTTGCTACACCGGGCATGTTAACACCGACTGGTGACTTAGATTTACGTAAAATCGGTCAGGCACGTAATACGCTGATGAATGTTAAGCTTTCACAAGTCTCAGATTCAGTAACAGGGCAAACCGTTGTCGATCCGAAGGGTTATCTTACAGATTTACAAAGTATGATACCGACTTACGGTGGCGATATTAATGATATCAAGAAAGCACGTTTACTATTGAAAAGTGTGCGTGAAACCAATCCAAATCATCCACCTGCTTGGATTGCTTCGGCACGTTTAGAAGAAGTCACTGGTAAAGTGCAAATGGCACGAAACCTTATTATGCGTGGCTGTGAAATAAATCCACAATCAGAAGACTTATGGTTAGAAGCCGCACGCTTGCAACCACCAGACACCGCTAAAGCGGTTATTGCACAAGCTGCACGACATATACCTACTTCGGTGCGTATTTGGATAAAGGCAGCCGATTTGGAAACTGAAACGAAAGCAAAACGACGAGTTTTTCGCAAGGCCCTCGAACATATACCCAACTCGGTGCGACTTTGGAAAGCCGCTGTTGAGTTGGAAAATCCCGACGATGCACGTATTCTACTCTCGCGTGCTGTCGAGTGTTGCAACACCAGCGTGGAATTATGGTTAGCTTTAGCACGTCTTGAGACTTATGAGAATGCACGCAAAGTGTTGAATAAAGCACGTGAGAATATACCTACCGACAGACAAATTTGGACAACTGCCGCAAAACTTGAAGAAGCCAACGGCAATATACACATGGTGGAGAAAATCATTGACCGTTCCTTGGCATCACTTTCCGCTAATGGTGTAGAAATAAACCGCGAGCATTGGTTTCAAGAAGCCATTGAAGCCGAGAAATCTGGCGCTGTGTACTGTTGTCAGGCTATAGTAAAAGCTGTTATTGGTATAGGCGTTGAGGAGGAGGATCGCAAGCAAACATGGATAGACGATGCCGAGTTTGTAAGTTGTATTTGTATTTGTGTTGGTGGGATTTATACTAACATTTTAAATTTTTTTCAGTGCGCTAAGGAGAACGCTTTCGAGTGTGCACGCGCTGTCTATGCGCATGCCTTGCAGATATTTCCTTCGAAGAAGAGTATTTGGTTGCGTGCTGCTTACTTCGAGAAAAATCATGGTACACGTGAATCACTGGAAGCTTTACTGCAGCGTGCAGTTGCACATTGTCCTAAATCCGAGGTTCTCTGGTTGATGGGTGCCAAATCCAAGTGGCTCGCTGATGACGTGCCAGCAGCACGTGGTATATTGTCCTTAGCTTTTCAGGCTAATCCTAATTCCGAGGACATTTGGTTGGCTGCTGTTAAACTGGAATCTGAGAATGCAGAATATGAACGTGCACGTCGTCTGTTAGCTAAAGCTCGTTCATCGGCGCCTACTCCACGTGTCATGATGAAATCCGCACGTCTAGAATGGGCTCTAGACAATTTGGAGGATGCTTTGCGTCTGCTGGATGAGGCCGTGAAGGTATTTCCCGATTTTCCGAAACTATGGATGATGAAAGGACAAATTGAAGAACAGCAGAATAAATTAGATGAAGCTGCGGAGACTTACAGCCAGGGCATTAAGAAATGCCCCACATCCATACCACTTTGGATACTATCAGCTACGCTAGAAGAACGAAAAGGCACTCTAACAAAAGCACGTTCAACACTAGAACGTGGTCGTTTACGGAATCCAAAGACTTCTACGTTATGGTTAGAGGCGATTCGTATAGAACTTCGTGCTGGTTTAAATGAAATAGCGAGCACAATGATGGCACGTGCTTTACAGGAGTGCCCTAATGCAGGTGAATTATGGGCAGAGGCAATTTTCATGGAGTCTAAACCGCAGCGCAAAACGAAATCGGTTGATGCATTAAAGAAATGTGAGCACGATCCACATGTACTATTGGCTGTTTCAAAGCTATTCTGGTCTGAGCATAAATTTACGAAATGTCGTGATTGGTTTAATCGCACGGTATGTTAGTTATTGAGATATGAATTATTTTTCAAATTTTTTTCTACAAATTATAACTATTAATTTTCTTATCGACAGGTCAAAATCGATCCCGACTTGGGTGATGCTTGGGCGTACTTTTATAAATTTGAGCTGCTACATGGCAATGAAGAGCAACAGAAAGAGGTTTTGGAGCGTTGTGTAGCCGCTGAACCAAAGCATGGTGAGGCCTGGTGTCGTGTAAGCAAGCATATTAAGAATTGGTGTTTTAAGACACCAGAAGTATTGAACGGCGTTGTCAAACAATTATCTATACCTATATAAATTGTACAACACTTTAGCTATTAATTCGCAAATACAATTTTTATTTTTAATTCAAAAATATAAATAACAGAAACATTTTAAAAGTCGAATTCATAATTAAAGCATTGAAAATGAAATGGAATTTACTTTGTTTACTCTGCGGTCTAAAATCTATCTGCGACCACATCAACTATAGCTTCGCGCAGTTCTTTTAGTTTTTTAATTTTTTCCAGTAATTTAGCGGCATTCAAACAGTTTTCAGGCATATTTCCGTATTGTTCAAAATTACGTTTTGCACTTCGTAAACGTGCATGCAGTTCCCTTGGCTCTATTAATACACGTCCAGATAACTCAAAATCATTAGAAAGCGCGGCCGAAAGCAAAGCAGCATTTTCCTTTGAAAATTGGTAACCATAACCAGTAAATTTACGTTCATAAGGACAGCGTAGCAGTAGTGTGTGTGTAGGTGAATTGCTTGGCTTAGTTAAATCGAATTCTTTGGTTAGGTCCGACTGAATGTCACTAGACGAAACGTCATCCAACTGTGGGAATAATAATTTAATAATCAAATACAATTAAAATCTATCCATACTTACAAGTTGGCGCAACTGATTCTGTTCTTCAACAATTACGAAATCTTGGCCTTCTTTAGGCAACCTGTCATAACCTAGACGACGCTCGGCAGGCAAACGTTGATAACCGTTAGTAACACGCTCATATTCAGGATGTAAACTCAATAATTCCAGCATTTGCTTTTGTATTGGCGTCAATTCGTAGTTGTAAATATTCGGCAACACTTTTCGCTGAAAATGATCATACAGTTGTTCCATAGTGAATTCATCGAATTTTTCATTCACTGTTTGGAAATCATTCCAAGTATTTTCACGCTCAAGAAAAAGTATACGTTTAGATTGGGTTATATATTTTATTAGTGCTAAATCTAATTCATCTGTATTTTCGCTTATATTGAATGAAGCATTCCGATCTATATCGTCGGGTAACACCTCGCCATGAATAATCTGCATTTCCACGTCCAAGTTGTCCATTTCTATATATTTAAATAAAAAAACTGCCGATAGTGCAAAATGCCGTTTCCTGTATAACCGCCAAATTTATTTATCAATTATTGCATTTCCTCTAAGTGTCACGACAACAGGGTGGTGTATATGGCAGCAAGCAATTTTGCCAATTTTTCTTTTTAAACAGGGCGCTCCAGGAACTCAATGTTTCCAACGTTTAGAAAATACTGAAAAGAAATTATTGGTGATTATTATTTATTGAATTTGTATTATCTTATCTTACCCATTTCAAATTCCCATTATTTAATTACATTGTGAGGAATACTTCAGCTCAAACTATTATAAATATATTGTTGCTATGGCTACTCAGCTAAATTATTATTTTATATTGAAATATTAGCTTTTCAAATAAATAAGAAATAATAAATTATTAAAACAGCTTACAATTTGTACATTTACCTAGTATTTATACACAGTAATTATTTAAAAATATTTATTTCGATTATCCTTGTGATTCTTTGCAGATATGTATTTTTCCAATAATGAAAAACACCCTGTGCGCTGATGCAGTTGTTGCATGGGTAGCGAGGTTTTCAATACAGCAAACAATACTAGTTTGGTTTAAATATTCTTGATCTTCTTGAATTTACCAGAACATAAAATTAACTAAACAATTTTTTAAGCGAAATATATAATGTTTTCGCCACAATAAAATAAATTTCTTTTCGGCTAGTACAAAATAATTTTTTTTATTTAACATTTATTTTTATTAAATTTTTTACTTGCAAGGTTATTTTCATCAGCAAAAAAAAGATTGCAGTCTAACCGTATTGGCCGGGCTGGTAGTGGCATTTCACTCCGGTACGCTATCCCACTACTGCCTACCACGGGAACTCTTGGCTGCTGGTTTTCACCCCTGGCCCGGTTCATCCCTCCTTAGCCAACCTGAATACCTTGGACTCCTCCATGGTACCCATATTGATGGCAGGCTTAGTGCGGACGTTCCGTCAACATGAACTGGCCCACCACACAGGACTCCCGGCCTCAGGCCATTCTACAATCCGACCTCACGGAAGCGTGATTACAGAAGATGCCAACCTTCCAGTCGAAATAACGGCACTTTTATTACCTACTTTTGCTGCATCATGCACACATATGTACGGAAATAGAGAAACTTTTTATACAATACAAAAGATGGCGCTGATTGGGGTAGAAAACTATGCGCGAATGATTGTTGAGAAGCTTGCAAATAAATATTTTAAGAATATATGTTATTATTGTTTAAGATTTAGTTGAAATAAAACAGAATATTTCTACTGAAATGACCAATAGAAGTTACTGCATTTCACAATAATATACCCATGCAAGCAAATTGCGAGCGAACGCAGCGACATCTGGTGTCAAATAATATACTCATTTGGCCAGTGTTGTTTCTTCACATCGCCCTGTGATTTGACTTTTTCCCTTCGTCAACAAGTTACATGCATACCATACATACACATATACATTAATTGCAATTTTGTGCTCAAAAGTTTGTGGGTTCGAGTCCCAAGACAAGCAGTTTTTTTCTGAAAGCAGATAATTTCATAATTTCCTTTTTTTTATTTTTTGTTGTAAGTTATTCAGTTATTTTTCAGTTAAAAAGAAATTATTGATCTCACTAAAAGTAATCATTAATTAATCCATGACAACAGGAGATCAGCTGTGTCAACACATAAGTGGGTGAAATCAAATGAAATAAAATGTTAATAACTCTTAACCATTCTATTTTTAGTCACGAAAAAACCTGTTGCTAAATTTATGAATTCGAGGCTATGCAACAATAAAATACTTTAGTAACCACTACACGCTAAAGTTATTCAATAGAGAATACAGCAAATGACGAAAAAACGCAAACCAATAAACATTCAGCAAAATAGTTACTTCACTGCCGTTAATATTCGACTGGAAGGTTGGCATCTTCTGTAATCACGCTTCCGTTAGGTCGGATTGTGGAATGGCCTGAGGCCGGGAGTCCTGTGTGGTGGGCCAGTTCATGTTGACGGAACGTCCGCACTAAGCCTGCCATCAATATGGGTACCATGGAGGAGTCCAAGGTATTCAGGTTGGCTAAGGAGGGATGAACCGGGCCAGGGGTGAAAACCAGCAGCCAAGAGTTCCCGTGGTAGGCAGTAGTGGGATAGCGTACCGGAGTGAAATGCCACTACCAGCCCGGCTAATACGGTTAGACCGCAATCTTTTGCAAAAATTTCTTTGTTTTTCTTTTTTTTTTGTAATAAGTTTCTCTTTTTGGTATTTGTTGTACTTAAGAGACAAATTTAACAAAAGACATTTGTGCTTACGGTAGCTTATCGCTGTGATGTTCTTATAAACTTATAAACAACAGCGGTCTCGACTTTCTTCCCCATTCTGTGTTCACTCTTCAATGTAAAGAGTTATTGATAACTACGTATACACATACATATATCAGATGTTTGTCGAATACAAAATAAAATAAACTTTTTGATATTTCTGTGGAAATTGCAACTGCGTGCCACGCTCACTTCATGTATTCTTTATTGCGAAATGAACGAAGTTAATCTCTTCCGTTCCTCTTTGGTTATGTGGTGGAAAAAGCTACACAGCCCGCAGCATTTTGTGATTGGCGAGTGAGAAGGTAGAAACGGCCCTTCGATCCACGGTTGGTAATCCAGCGGAGAACCTCACTTTCCGCACTGGAGTTGAAGATCTGAACATCTCCACCCTCTGAGCTTCTGATGAAGTGCTGGTTACGTCGATATATCCCTTGATTCGATCAATTTATGTTGCCCCGAGCGGTAAGAGGCTTTAGTGGCAATGAGAACTCTTTCTCGTTTGATTATCTCTGACTTTACTAAAGAGTGTAAATGAGTTGGCGACAATTTCGCCGTCAAATGTAGTAGAGTTTCGCCGTGTTTTAGTAACAGACAAATTTTTGCTAATATTAATAGTTGTTTTTGTTTAATTAATTTATACATAACACACTTTCCAAGTGATCTCAGTTTTGTGTTAGACATTAAATGTGTGAGTTCCCATGTTGTTGCTGCTCCTATGGTGTTTTTCCCCTTTAATCTGGTCCTCTATTGTATTGACTTTATTCCAGCTATTTGGCGGCGGTTTTATTGTTATCAGTCAATTCAAACGGGCCAGTTCTGATGCCTCCAGTCGAAGATTTGAGCTTTTTGATTTTCTCGGTGACTGGAATAAGGAATTTTTTAAACGATTCCCTAATGAAACCCGGCACGCCAATGGACCCGACACCTTCTCTGTCAGTTTCAGTTGCTTATTCCACCATATTAACCTCGAATGGACAGGGCTGATAGAAGAAATTTACTGCGCTGGTTTTTTTGTACGCATATTTATTGAACTTTTTACAACAAATACAATAATTATTAGATTCAATTTGCTTTCTACTCTACGCAATTTCGTATTATGTTTTTAAATTTCCAAAATATTCAACAGCGACACTGTCCGCCTTACGCTGTTGCTTATTTCGCTGTATCTTCTTCGCTATGTTCCGAGCATACTTCACAGTTAATTCCAGTACGAAGCAGAAAGCGCTCAGTAGTATGCCAAAGCCGAATATGCCCAAAGCGTAACGACATTCAGTTATACCGATCGAAACAAAACCACCAACGCCACCCTCACATTTCGGTTTCTGCGGAAACCATTTGAGTTCTTCGCGATTCATTAGACCCACTTCGCGTTGCCAACGTAATCTATAAGCGAAAGTGAATTTGAGGTTATGATATAAATTATACAAATTATATATGCACGAGTATGTATGTAAACGCACTGCCTACGAAAGAGCTCTTTGTATGGGAAATTCTTTCTTGTCGGCACTGCTATCATAGGCAATTGAAATGGTTCCAACTCCTTGAGGCCACACTTTTCCGGCTCGCTGAAGGTGTTGCTTATGATCTGATAGCCCGCCTGCAGTTCCACTTGATAGGCGAAAAGGCATGTGCGCATTTTTTCCATGCCCACTGTGGGCCTCATGAATATATTATCACCTTTTGGCGCGATTTTCTTGTGGTATAAATGATTTGTGACAGGATCTGTGGACTCCTATGAGTGGCATAAAAAATTTACAAAAAAAAAAATAGAAAAAAAAAATAGAAACAAGTTTTTGTACTCACATTGAAATAGATTTTGTTATACACCGTATCCTGCACACCAATCTCCAGTGGTGATTGCGCCAAATCGCTCAAAGTTTGTATCGCCTCTGAAGGACTCTGCAGCAAAGCAACAATATTTGCCGAAAATGAGGTATACAAGAAAAGTGTCGACACGAATGTGGTGAAAATGATGACACGCGCCGAACGATTGAGCAAATTCGCATAGAAACCCTGCTGACACATGGCACCCCAAACAAAGACCACACAATCCAATATATCGATTTCATGCGAATGTGGCGAGTACACCAGTTCGACCATGAAAATGCCAATAGTGAAGATCATTAGCAATAATATGGCAATCCAGACATCGCTGGCAAAGGGCATGGCGAAGATATTGGCTACAGCCGACAATGGTGGTTGACGAAACATTATTCCCGCACGTATGCGGAACGTTTCCGCTACAAAATCCACTAAAGCGATGCGATCGAGACGCATGAAAATTGCCATTTGCCCAAAGTCCAGTTCGTAACGTTGAAAGCGACCCATCAGACCGTCGAATGAGCCATTCGGTTGATGCCAACCGTAGTTGTCCACTTGGTGAGTGTTGAAGCTGGAAGGAAAGCGCTTAAAGAGATTGACGTGGTAACATTGGAAAATGGAACAAAATTCTAGAGTTGGTAGTCGTTTAAGGAACACATAATCTGGAGTTGCTCAAATATGCAAAGTTGTATAAGACAATAAGGGGCGCTCTTATTTAATTTTACCTCACCATACTGAACCCGGGATCAACATATTCGCAAGAAATCCTTCCCATCATTCGATCTATTTGAAATTATTTTCTTTGTCGGTAGTGGACCTGATAACGATCCATTAAAAACATTAATTTATGGTTCAATTTCGTTGAATTCGGTTTATGGGTTGTCCATTTGTAACGAACTCGGTTCTCCTAACCATCAGCCAGTAAACGATTTCATTGTTGCTCGTCATCTCGCGTATTCTGTCTATCGTCACCTTCTCGGCGCCTGTAATGCCTACGCGGTACCATACGCCTGTCGCTTCATGCCTAAAAGACTGAAGTTTGTGGGGTTATTGTGCTTGTCGGTTCTTGACATTAGCAGAGTTGATAACGTCTCTTCTTGCATATAAATCTGGGTTTCTTGTAGACATTTCTCCATTCCAATGATTATATCGCGGTCTGCCTGTTCCACTGTTGCGCTCTTCATATCCTTCAGCTATTGCTTAAACCCTAGGAATTCCTCACCTGCTCATTGGTATCTTCTGCAACGTATGGGCTCTTTGTTCTTACTGTCACTTACAACCAATCCTGTGCCTGGTATTGTTGTTATCCAAGTTTCGTATAGTCATCATGATGCGGGGTCTGTACTCAGTGTATTCTTCTAACAGTCTCTGGCTGTCTCCTTCGTCAATTGGCATTTTGACTCCCTCCATTCTTCTTCATCTTCTTTAGAGGAAGTTTTAATCTCCGCTAAAGTCATCACGATTTCGTCTGGTTGTATTTCATTATATTTTTGGGATGTAACGCTGCTTTGTTGGTCTAATATTTTTTGTTCTTTTTTAGTTCGCTTTCCTTCCCACGCCGTCCAATAAGCAGTTTTGGTTCGAGTTTCACTTTCTACTCCTAACCTCATTGTTTGCCCTCCGCAGATAATAGTTCTGTTGACTTTTGGCTCGCCTGTTGATTAACTCAGCTGCAGCTTTCCTCTATACTTTCTTGGTACATTTGAGGGGTCAGCAATGCATGCCTCATTCGCTGAGCCATGGCATCGACGATATATGCGGAGACTAAAAAACTACCTCCAGCTTGGAGCTGACATCCATGGCGTTGTAATGAACCTTCCGTTGGAGCCTGCGTCAAGGTTCCGGGTTGTCAAATGCTCTCTATGTAATGCATTATCATGTTTCCAGGTTTCGGCGCTGATTGTCAGCACGGCAAATAGCAACGTTTTTCTGGTGAAAAAGTCTCTCTCGTCGAAGCTGAATGACAGAACGCCATGAGATGTTCAACTCTGCCTTTAATGGATGATGGGAGAAGTACATATGGTCGGAAGAAAGCCTAGGCTTCTGCTTTCTAAACCAATTTTTTATTTGTGTAGATTTTCTAAAATATATAAGAATTTTAGTTTGTGATGAACTTACTGCAAATTCAGCCTATTCGCCAACTCGATGGTTAGACGATTATTGACCTTTGAAATCGTATCGATGTGGCGTAGCGATATATCTTCGATGTTAGTAAACAAATCGGGAAAGGCAATGACAAGCCCCGTTTTGAATGTGATACCCTCCAGGTTTTGACGATACGTAATGGCTGAACCGAATTCCCGCAACGCTTGCAACATATCCTGCACACTCCACAGCTCTCCGCTTGCACCACCCAGCAGAGTGCGACGCAAAGGTTTATCCGCTGCAATTTTATACACATCAACCAATGTAAAGAATTGCAACTTCGGTTGCCGCACAATAACGCGTACCTCGCAATCAGGTGGCACAAATATTTCCACATCCTCAAGCAATGAAATATGCGTAGGATCAGCGGTGAGTAACAACCAAAAGCGGTTGGTGGTGAAATAGTTGTTCTCGGAGGCAGCTGACCAACGTAGCACATTGAGTGCACAGTCGCTGGCGAAATGCAACATCAGAAAACCTGATTTATACGTAAGTGGTGGCAGTTGCAAGCGTAACGGGCGACGTGTGCTGTTATCGCTGCGGAATGTGCGCGGTGGACCAAATGAAGGTGGTGGTGGTGGTGTGCTGCTTGTGGCCTCCACAGTTGAAGAGACAGTCGCGCTGATATTGAGTTCCTCGCTTTCGCTGCTGGGCTTGTTTACCTTGGCGTCATCATAGTCCTGCCCATTGAATATTCGTATGGAAAAACCGTTGGCCATAAATTTCCGTACAAATGACTGCAATTTGTGTTGCGCTTCGCTGGTGGCTGCAATGGGAAAGAGTTGAAGGCAGTATTTGGCTTAAAGCTTCGAATATATTGGTTGGCTATTTTTCTTGCCAAGAGAAATGCCGTTATTTTCAATGTTTCTTTTATTTTTTTTTTTTGAAATTTTCCAAGTTTATGGGCTTTTAGCGGTGCGCGGTTCAGTTATTGGTTTATGAGTGGACTTACCTTTCTTGTGCACTGCTTCTGCAACAACTCTACCTCTACTTACCTACATCCTGTGGACAGACGATGAGCATTATGTTGTGAACGCCATGCCAACGAAAATATTCCATAAAAATGTCTGCATCGTGCGGTTGTGGGGCGGCATCAGCTGCCGTTGGTGCCTTCGCTGTTGAATTGCTCGAGCGTGCGACGCTTACCAATTGGTTTGGCAAAGCTACGCCTGTTGTGGCGCCCAAAATTGTGCAGTAAATTAGTAGCATGCAAAGCGTATTGAAATTTATCAGCTTCATTTTTGCGTTGCGTACGAAAACTGTTTTTTTTTTTTACTTTGATTTTTACTCCCCTTTCGAAACACTGACGCGCTACGGCGCATCTGACCGCCAAGTGGAGGCTCTGAATACTTTTATATAAGGGTTTCTTCAAGCGAATTTTCAGAGTATCCTTTCGCTTGCAGGTTTATTAACTCAATTATAAAAAATTGAAAAATTGTACGTGTTGAGTTGTTAGTCTGAATTGCCAGCAATTTGGTGAGAAATTGTAATTGCACCTTAGACGTTAGCAATGGTATCTATGAGGGTGACCTCATAAGTTTATGTACTTAGGCACTCAAGCGAGTTTTTAAAAATATGCTTTGTCTAAAGAAACTATCTTTTAAAATACTTAATTGCCTTAAAAGCTCAGCCGAAAGACGCTTGAAGGGACCTAAAGTTTATGTTTTATTAAGCCGCCTCGAAAGACCATTGAATTTTTATGTAGAGCTTTTATTTCATGTTAGAAATACACTCGAAGAGTATTGTATTTTAATATGCAACTGATGCTCAGACGACGTCACAAGATTTCATGTTTTGGCAGGTCTCGTTCGTTCCCGCTGCTCTAATCCATGCAGCGTTGTTAACGATCGGCCGGCCGGGATTTTGTTGCGACTCTGGAGTTTTGCGGCAAATGCGGAGTGAAGGAATGCCGACTGTCGAATGTGACGCGGTAACTTTGGATTGTTTGTAGTCGGAATTTTGACGCCATCGGCTTTCACGTCAAGTTCGAGCCTGTACTCCCTCGAAGGTAGCAGAGGATTTTTTCGGTTGTATTTGTTGATTGTAATTGCAGTTGTCCTGCAGTGGAGAAGTGTGGAAAGTTCGTCGATATAGCCGTTTGCTTTCGAAGCTTTCGAACAAAGATCAACAATATCGAGCAAACATCGGCATATGTGGTGAAAGAAACCCCTTCTAGTAGAGGAGGGAACTTCGAGATATAGAAATTAAACGGTAATGGAGAGAGGACACCATTTTGTCGAACTCCTTTTTTACCTTCAATGGAAGCATTTATGATTAGTGCTCAACTTCGTCAAATACTCACTGAAACTCAACTGTCTGACTATTAGGGTATTTAGGGTGGCCGAATTTGGTTTAAACTATCGCTACCTTCCCGAAAGACTGCCCAACTCAGATACCAGGATTATGTCGATACGTTTATGCGATTTCCAGTACAAAATATTTAATCCGCGTATGTAGCATGGTAGACAAGCCTTTTCCAAGTCAAACACAAACATATGTATCTGGATTAATCTTGAAGCGTTGAGCAGGAATTGACGCTATTGGATTATAAACCTTAAAAGTTACGTCCCACATTTCCTGATATATCATTATATTAGTAATAAAAAAACATTTTTACATACAAATATGAAATTGAAACTAATGCACAGCTCCAAGTGCTTTGAAAGTACTGGCAGCGCAGTCAGCATAAGCTCTCACTACACGTGGCGAATTATGATTGGTCAATTAAAACGAAAAGGGAAAATGGTGAGCGGATCACTTAAGCTCCCGCTGAGAAGAGAGAAAATAGGACATACTCAAAATAACGGGTAGAGCGGCACGGCTTTCAATTTTTTTGTTGCGTGATTTAGTAAATTGAATTAATTGTAAGGTAAAATAAGTAAGAAACTTTAAACTTACTTTGAAAACTTTCGAATTTTTTTTTTAAGACCGAGAATAGAAAATTTTGCATGAAAAATGTTAACAAAAGAAACGGTTGAAGCAGAAAGTATACATATGTTTATAATTGACGTCCTGTAACCGCTGAAGCGAATCTTGGCCAAGCTCTTCCTCCAATTTGTGGTTTTGCGTCTTGATGTTATTCCAACAAATAGGGGGACCTACGGCCTTTACGAAGCCGCCTCCGAACGGCTGATGGGTTTTTTAAGAGAAACTTTTTTTATTTCATGTCAGAAATACTCTCGGGGGGCTGACATTCTCTGCCGAGGGAGGACTGCAATTAGAATATTTAAGTTAATTTTTTATTTTTATAAATTTTCTACATTTTTTGGATGTTGGTTGTACAAGGCCTTGAATCCGAGCCTTCCAAATGGCAGTATGCAATGCTAACCACTCGGCTGCCGCGGCCGCAGTTGCTACATACGTACATATATATATATATAGATTACAACTCACTAAAAACACAGACTAACTGGAAAATAAATCATAATTCGACACCCCCCAACGAAAGTTTTTGCCATTTTGGCAAGTGCAACATGCAATTTTCCGCTGTCAAAAACTGCATGCGAGCGATAACAATAATAATCGAATGCTGCTATGCACTAAGTATGTCATAATATTTTCTTTAAGTTTTCATTTCTTTCTTGAGTGCATTTCCCACACACATGGGAGTAAATATGCATGTACGGGCATGACTTCTTTGCAGCACCAACTGCTGGTGGAATGCAACGCCAACAAGAGCGTACAAAAAAAACTCGTTGTTTTCGCAATGGCGCACACACGCATATGGTGCAATGTGCAAGTGATTGGAAAGTACAGAGGAGAAGGAAAAAAATATTACAAAGTTGTAAACTGAAAAATGCAGTTTTTCCTACGAAGTGGTTGTTGGCACATTTAATTGACAGCATGACTTCTTGCGTTCAGTTGGTTAAATAAATAATGGAAATTTAATTGAGAAGCGAACTGAGCCAAATTCAATTGGAGAGTTGGAAAATACTTACAATTACAGTGGATGGTTTTTTGTTTTTAAATTGAAATATAGTTGCGGGGAAAAATTATTTAATTGCCACAAGGTTACAAAAGAACAGCAATTGCACGCACAGGGAAGAGGTAATGATATTGAGTTGATATACGTGGCTTGGACGGATACACGCCTTTACACCCGATATAATTAGGTTATCGAATAACAAGGAAGACAACAACACTAAAAAAGTTATGAGTTAATTTAAGCGGCTTGATTGAAGCCGTTTAAGCAAGACATGAACTGAATAATAGCGCTAAAAAGTAAACCGGTGATGCCATTGTGAATGAGCAACTGAAAAAGCTCAAGGGAAATTCTCGCTGAACGACAAGTTTTTGGGAAATTTCAGTCAAACTTCAAAGTTCAGTGACACTTTAAAATGGAATAGTAAGTAAATTCGCGCTTCTTTTTTTATTAAAACAAAGGACAAAATAAATAAATAATAAAAAATAATAAATATATAATAAAAAAAAACTAAATAAATAAAAAAAAAAATAAATAAAAAAAATAAAATTAAAAAAAATTAAAAAAAAATAACTGCGGGCTATCCATTTTACGGTTTTAAAAATAAAATTTAATAAAATCAATGCATGAATTAATTAATTTTTTCATGAAATTCCTGTTCGAACATTGGCATTATATGTGATACATTAGATTATTCAAATAACCGTCTCGTGAATTTTTGCTAACTTCGATCCTTTGAAGGTTAATTTTCGACCACTTTTTGATACATATCGGGCGGTATCTCAATCATAACTTGACGAATGTTAGTTTCAGCAGACTTCCGCCTTGTCACACATAGAAAAAGTCTAACGATATCAAATCGCACATTCTTAGTGGGCAATTGACATTGCCAAGGCGAGAGTTTACGCGGCAATTGATATGGACAGTCTTGCCGTTGTCGTTTTCAAAGAAGTAAGGTCCAAGCACACCTCCGGACCAACGCACGAACCAGGCAGAAAGTTTTTTTTTAAGTGTAATAGCTTTTTTTCAATTGTTTCAGTATTCTCGGAGCGCCAAATAGAACAATTTTGCTTATTTGCGTATCCCCAGAGTGATAAATGTCTTTCGGCGCGGATGAAAATTATGTTCGATAAGTCTGCGTTCACCGTACAAGCACCCAATCGAGATATGTAAGGCATTGTGAATGATTAGCCGGCTTCATTTGTTGTGTGACCTGCACCTTATATTGATATTGGTGTATTCCAAGTACAAAATACGACATAATGTACCGTAATAAAGTCCCAGCTCTTGAGAACGTCGAGAAGTAGACATTTTCGGGTCTTTGGCTACATTTTTACTTGCAGTGGTGATATTAGAGATGGAACGAGCAAAACGATGATTTGCTGGCCTTACAATATCTGTTACCTATCCAGGCTTTTCAAGTCGTTTCGACAAGTTCGAGATAAATGCAGAGAGTGTGGTGGGGTAATAGTTGCTTATCGGACATATCTATGTTAAATATGTCGGGCTCGAGTGTGGATAAGTACGAGTTGAGTCTACTACAGTATCCAGATTTAAATTGTGTCAGTATTTTTCAGGTCTTTTGATGTACCTCAACATCTTCGTCTGCTATGGGTGGCTTGGATTCCTACCTCATCCTTCACCGGAAGAGAGTTAATGAGAGTGTTAATAGATTATCTGCTGCTAGCGTGCATGGCCTGTTAGTAGTTAGTTCGGTACGGTGGCTTTGTTATGTAGTGTAGAAAGCGAATTTGCTCCCTGTCTGATGTGTCTTGGGGTGGTTCAGCTTCCAGCAGGTAGCTGAAAGGATGATACACAGCATAACATTTTGCTTCTTTATTGGAAGTATGGTTATTTCGCTTGGCCAATGTTGTACTGATGATATCAGAAGATTTCCTCTTATAACTCTTAGAATGGTGCTCTTACAAGCTTGTGGATTATTCATATGCAACTCTTACATTCAGCTCGTGCCGGTATTCCTTAATCCAACTGGAATAAAGAATCACCAAAGGTTTCGCTGAGTGTATTTGGAGATGTCATACGAGCAAGAAGTGGACAATGTTGTGGAGATATCTTCGAAAAATGTGTGACAGGTCTATACGGTGTAGTAAGATCGAGGAAACTCCCCCGGCTGGAGAAAGCCTGGAAGTATCAAAATTAAGCAATAGCCGGGCGGGCCCATTACCCTGCGGCATACCGTGTTTGATTTCCTTGAGTTTGGAATAATAGATTCGCTTGAAATGTTGGACTGAATAGTGCGGCTGAGATCGCGGACTTCTAAGTTTGTTACAGCGAAGTGCTGATCGAAATGGCAGAAATTCTTATTGTGCTAAAGTTTCAGTTGGTCTGTAATGTTTCCAATTATAAAAATATATGTAAGTGG